TCAAAATGCCTCTATTCCTTATGAGACCCGTTGCAGTGCTTAGCTGACATGTTACTTAACCCAGGATTGAATCTTCCGATGTTGAAAGATAGAAGGTGACCATCATTTTGTAACACCTAGGGAGAATTACGTCCTCATTCTTACAGAGGTCTGTGGTACACGTGAGATTTTGTGCAATGGATTTGGTAATCTCATTGACTTGTGTTAGACATGAGCTCCCAAAGAACTCATTAGATGTATTTGTGACCTTTTGCGTTAATTCGTGAGGACTTTTGCATTAACATGCTACATCTATGAGCAGATACTGCAAATCCGGGAAGCACTCATGGAGCAGCGCTGTACTGCAAGTACTACACTCTGTGCATTGCCAAGGATAGTTTGACAGAAACTGGTATCTGAAGTTAATTAATTAGCAGTCCAGCTGGCTGAACTGCAAATAATAATTAAAGAGACATGATAAGTGGTTAGTACTTGAATTCTCCTAAGCCTGAATGTTACCACTTTTGAAGCATGACACAAGACTAATCTATTTCATCAAGCTTTCTCCCAAGAACAGACTTGTGAAATGGTAACAACTGTGTGCTCTAGGAAACTACTTATTAGTTTTTTTTTGCTTCAGGCGCTTAGTCTGTTAAGGAAAAAAGTGAAGAAGTTTCCTTCTTTCATGTGGGATATGATCTATTTCTAAATATATTAGATGGCATCTAAATTCTGTAAGACCATAGGCATTGTGGAAAGGCTTCAAAGTACTCATATTATGAAAGATAGCTTCTCCTCTAAATTGTGACCAATGTAAATAAATGTGTTACCACTACATAAAGATAACTTGTTGATTCCTCACTAGGATGTGGAGTGGATGGAGCAGTGCTGCCGCAGATTTGAAATCAGAGTCAAAAGATAGCTTGACTGAAGTCCTGTTCTCTTTTATATTTGAGACTTCTGAAGCGGGACTCTACTGTGATATGTGCCTGTTATTTCGTTTATAGCGGAGTTTTGTTTGCCAGTGATTTTTATTTTGCTTTATGGGGCCAATAATTACCTTATTAGCACAGTTCTTCTGTATTGAAACATTATTCTCCCTTCAAACTTCAGCTAAGAAAAATAAGTTAGCCCACATAGCAAGTACGCAAACAATTTATAGATGGAAAATGTAGCAACGTATGGATATTTAAGCATTTCCTTTGACCTCATTTTGAGAAGAGTTAGTTGGAAAGCATCCAGTTGTACCCTGAATGTTACTTGAATGAGGATCAGAGTTCCCAGGGTTTGACACTAACAGAGTTGCTTTCTAACTTTTTTAATGAGGAAGAATTCCTTTTTCAACTCTGGTGTAAACAAAAAACAGCTGCAGTGAATGCTCTGTAGGGTAATGGTTGGAGCAGGGGTCTGAGAATGAGGTGTGGCCCCACTGAGGTCAAGGGAAAAACTTTTATTTTCAGTATTTCACCCCCTTCCCTCCCCCCTTACCTCAGTTCTTGTGCAAACGCCATGATGGAACGTGGCCAAGTCCCAGATTTTTTGCGCTTCAGAGCTTCCATTTGTAAACTCAAGAGGGAAAGATACTTAGCTGCTGTGCACAGCACTTGGGAGATTTTTTAAATTAAGGTTAAAGGTATAAGCAAACTATTGTCCTTTGTGATCTGCCTTTAGTTGCAGTCGTGGTTTCAGTAGATTCCTCAAGCATTGGCTTATGTTTCTAGCATTGATTGGGATATTCTGCAGATAATTGTCTAGCAGGTGGTAAAGTCAGAACTAATCTATCAATTGGTTTAATTCCACCTAGTCCAAATAATCCTGTTAGGAGCTATTTTGCCCTTTCAGCAGTCATTTTAATTAATATTTAGAGTTTGTGCAGGCAGCTAAGTTTCTACCCTGCTGAAGAATTAACTGATTGTTTTAATTTAAAATTAGAATTAATTTCTAAGTATCTTTTTCCTCCCATGTGAAACACAGAGCAACCTCTCAAGAACGTGCAGTCTGTTCACCACTATCTCTCTCTACTTTTATCTCTCGTGACTGTCTTGTCTGGTGTTGTCCTGTCAGTATAGGGTGTAATGGTGCTTCAACTAGATGTGTAAGAAAAAATTCTATATGATTCTCATATGTCTGATTGCAGACTTAAGTTATAGACAGTAAAGGTTTTTTGTGGTGGTGAAGACTTTCACGCTTATTGTAAGCAAAAACATATTTGCCATGTCATGAAAGCAATTTATAAAGCTAATAGACAGCGCAGGACATCTTGCGGAAACTTTGAATGAGAAGGTTTTCATCTAGCTCTTTAAGAGAAAAATGTTCATATTCTCCTAAGAAAGCATGAAACAAAGTGAATATGGATTTGCTACATTTGGTGAAGTATATGCTGCAGTCATGATACTTGATTTGTTTTGATACTATATCATTTTTCAGAAGGAACCAGATACGGAAGGAGAAGGAAGCAGTGGGTTTCTGCTCCCTGAGGCTGAAACAGCTCTCTGCTCTTTTGGAGAGAAACACAGGGAACAAAAAATCTGAAATTATGACTTCAAACAATTTTTCAGAATCCCAAAAAACCAAAAGCCAAGTTTTCACTTTGCTTTGAAGGTTCACAGTAGATAAACTGCTATGTTTACACAAAGACGGCTTCTAAAGAGATGTTGTTTCTGTCACATGACAGGAGGGTAGCAGGCTTTTATACAGTGCTGAGGGGTTCTTTACCAGTGATTTAGAGGTCTTTCTAAAGCATAATTCTTCAAAGATGCTGTTTTCTTTTTTTTTTTTAAAAGAAGATAAAATATTAAACAAATGGATGAGTTGCAATACAAAGGCAAACCTTCACAGCTTGGGATGGGTGGCTGGCTTTGGTTCTGAACTTCTGTTGCCTTTGAATTGTTCTTGCTCTACTAGTATAAGATAATGCAAACATAATCGATTTCAGCGGCTGCATTTTGGGATGGGAAACTGATGCCAAGCACACATTTCAGTTGAAAACAGCCTACAAAGTTTTCTTGAGTACCTGTCTACGATTCTAGCGTTGTCCAGAATGATTTGCTACATGTAGCAAATTTACATTAGATAACGTGGGTGCAACTCAACAACGGGAGGATATGCAGTGGGTACAGCGAGCAGGAAGCAGCTGTGCGGCCACCTCGCACCCGCATGCAACCGCATTGTGGTGCTCTCTGCCCCACGTCTGCTTCCAGTGAGTACTTTGCTGTTCAAAACACTAGGACGCGGGCTTGCAGCATGGTCACCACTCGGTGGTAACTGCCTGTGTACTCGGTCTTCTCCTACAGTAAACATGAGGCAGACCACCCCGTTTTCACTGCGTAGGACAGACAGGAAGAAGGCAAACTCTTCCTCTGCTCCGCAGAAGAAGCGGCTGCAGCTGTTCCCGGCGGTCGCGGTGGTTATCGTTGTTGTGCTTCTGTGAACCGTACCACGCAGTGGCCTGTCGCTTACCGGAGACGTGGTTTTTTTATTTGTTTTATAACAAAGTATGGCATTGGAGCCTGTATTCATTGTTTCCTCTTCATCAGATCCTTCCAGTTCTTTATTACCTGCCTCATGGCACAGCTTTGCCCAATGAAGTGTTCGTTATTGGTTTTATTAGTATTAAGGCCGCATCGGTCGACTCTTCTTTGTACGCAGAGTCACGCAGGCTGCGCTGTGAATAAAGGTTCAGCACGGTCAGCAGGCTTCTCTTTCCGTTTGTGCAGACAGAGAGTCGCTTTCTAAGAAAACTCCCTTGAAGCGTCCACGCCGAATGGTGGGTAGAATGCTTCCTGCAGACCTGAGTCAGCTGGTGTTTCTTCAAAATCTAATTGTAGTTAGGAAAAAAAAAAACCCACACACCACAATATTGGCGCTGGATGGAAAGAAACCCTTTGAGAGCATGTAGTACCTGCAATTTTGGCTCATGGAATAGTATAGGAAGCTGACAAGATCTCATGGAGCTTTTATGTATCTAAAATTTTGTTCTTAAAACATCTTGCTCTTTCTGTGCTATGGAGCAGTGTTTGAGCAGTCTGAGGGAGTATCTCTGTTCTCAGGCTGTTATTTCCTGGCAGCTTGCTTTGCTGACCTCTGCGTCTGAAATCATAACCTGACCCAGTCCCTATTTCTCCTGTAAAAATGGAGACAGCTGAGTTCCAGGGTGGAAGCCCCTGTCGCCTCGGGGGCACCCCTCTACCTGTAAAGCACAGCAGGATAGGGAATAAATTCCTTGAGGAATTTTATTGTCAGGAAGCATTTTTTTTTTCCCCTCAAAATTCCTAAATGGACTCAAAGGAGCAGATCCTGTCACCTAAGGCACAGCACAGGCTGACAGCACCTCTTAGGTGAAGCCTAGAGATATATGTGACACTTGTATCATTTATATCAATGTCATATCTGTAGACCGTTAGATTTTTTTTTAATTTATCCACTTTCCATACTTAAGAAAAAACTGGGGAAGAGGAAAGAATATAAACATCAGAAGTAAAAGGCTGAAATTGCACCGATATGCCTTTCCCCGGGGCAAGTGCATACACTGATTGCACAAACATGGGCTGCAATTCATTTTCAAAGGACACTCCATCATTCACATATCCACGTAACCCTCAGATAAAGGTGCTTTATGCCAGAGCGTGCAGGTGTGTTTGAGGAGATTGTGACTTCTTAGACTTTTTTTTTCTCAACCCTGTGCTCTTTTAATCTCTCCAGAGCTCCCAGAATAGGGATCAAATTGTTCACATTTTCTAGGAAAATGTAGAGATGCTTTCAAATCTGAATGCTGCTAGCATGCAGGTAATTTAGGTGTAGCAGCTGGTTGTTCTTTCAACACATATCTGGTTCCTTTCAGCGTGAGCTTAGCTCTTGTAAATTTTACTCTTAAACTTCCTTTCCCCTTCCTTGTAACCTCTCTCCTGATATTCACACCATGTTAGTTTCTTCATTTTGTTTCCAATTGCCCTTTTCTTCTAGGGTAGCATTAGTCTTTCTGTAACCGTTGTTTTTGTTGGGGGTGTTTTTTGTTTTGACAGATGTTTATTGAACAGAACAAGATGAAAAGGCAAAGTCAGCTGCTTCTGCAAAATTCTGCTCCTGATCAACAGCTTTTGAAAGCTTTGGATGAAAATGCTAAGCTGACTCATACATTAGAAGAAGAGAGGCTTCAACATCAACAAAAGGTGAAACAAAAATCCTTTTTACTTCATGCGGAGGTTTTTGAAAACTTCCTGAACTTAATGAGTGATACGAGTTGTCTTGTATTTGCTACGTTCAGAGTTATTTAAGATCTTGTCTCCTCAGAAGTGTTTATAGTCTAAAAACTAAGCTTCAGAGAAGATTGTGATCCCCTTCTTCTGGGTCACTGGTAAGACATGAGTGCAAAACCTTCAGGATGAAGTCTCTGGTTTAAGTAAGTATTTTGTTTTGGATGCCTGTAAAGCCCGAGTTTAATTATAAGTGTTAAATGAAGTTCCATTACATGAAGAAGAATGTTTTGGACCTCGAGGAGTATAAAGGCTGATCCTTTAGGATAAGCTAAAAAGACTAGAGGCAAGAGGTAGGCAGTAGTTCATACCTGTAGTCTGGTCTATCAGTGGAAGCAGTCATTAAGAGAACAAGAATGTTAATGTTCTTGTGCTTCAGATGAAGAAATGTTCTGAAATGGAGCTTCTTCAAATGAAGCAACAAAAACTCGATGAAAACACTTATAGCGTAGGTACTTTTGGGCTAAAGGTGTTTTCCAAGGGGGAAAAAAGTTAGGATGAGAATAGAAGATTCTAACATCTCTCAGAAAGATCTGTCTAGCTGTCACTGAAAAAATCTATCCTCTCTGTGGAAATTGTAGATCGCTGTTACACTAACATCATATTTTCAGGAATTACCATGCCTGATGGGTTATTCATCAAAGTGAAGGACAGAAAATACCTTTTATTGTAATGAATGCTGTGGTTTGCCGACTGCAGGTCAAAGAATTGGAAGAGCAGCTAGAAAATCAAGCACTACATAAGGAAATTAGTCGTCTTAAACAGCAGCTAGAACTTTTGGAAGAAGATAAAAAGGAACTAGAGCTTAAGTGTCACAGCTCTGAAGAAAAGGCTAGAGACCTAAAGCATTCAGGTAAAATCATGTACTGAATTTCAGTTTAGAAGTACACCTTGCTGTCTGAGTGGTGCGCATCTAGAATTATACATGTTATATTTGAAAGCTGTTACGTAACTGAGATCCAAACCTGTGCTTAACAAGACTAAGTTCAGTAGCTGTTTTTAGCCGCAGAGCAGGTATGTCTACAATGTACTTGGAAGAATAACCTTTTAAAATTTCTGTAAGGTATAAAATACTGTTGTTAGATTGCACTGAGTCTTACGTGTGGATATGTATATCTGGATGTATTTCTATGTTAAAGAGAGAGTGCTTCATATTCAGTGCAAATGTATTAGTTTAAATGTATCCTCTTTCCTAGTTTTTAAAAAAAGTAAAATTGGATAACTGTAGTCATTCTTTGGCAAAGATGAAGGATGATTTATCTGCAGAAATGGAGTCTGCGCATTATATGCACTATACAAAAACATCCCGAAATTATCAAGCTACCCAAGCTTTTAATAGTCTTGTGACAGAAGGCACCAGTGAGATGGAAGGAATGATCTAGCCCTTCATACTGAAATGTGAGAAGACAGTTTCCAGTGATGTGAAGGGGTTTGGAGTTCTATTCTTTTTTTCTCTTCTTGCTGATATTTAAAGGGTAAATACTGCATTCAGAGCCCTGCAAAGGGAGTTAGCTAAACAAATTCAGTAGACTTTTATAGCTCGTATCTGTGAGGGTTATTCATTTAAATCCTTGTACTTGTAGTCAAACATTTTATTCTATGTACAGTGACTGAGAAGAAGGAAATGGTCTTTCTAGCTACTATTTATGCATTTCTTCAAGATTTAAACTAAAGCCCCAGAAATATGAATAAAAATGATTCACAGAATATTTTGAAAGGAGCAGCTATTGCAATTCGGCTATTCCTACAGTTATTCCTATGAGTGTAGTGCCTGGCCTGCTTGCAGCATCATACCTATTGAATGAGGAAATTTGTGATGCAGTGCTTTTAAAAAGGGCCCCTGTTTTGTGTGGCGTTGCTATAACGAGCATGAGATTGTCGTTGGTTAAGTATTTGCATGTGCCTTTACTTTGAGTCCTTGTTCAGATCAAGACTTAAGCAGGTGCTTAGTTTTATGTATGATACCTGGTCAGGAAAGAATTTGAGCCCTGATCAAAGGAGGCCAAAGTCCCTATCCTTATTTAAGACTCAGTGAGTAGCCATGCCTTTCTGAAACAAATCCTTAACAGCAGGATTACCTCTAAGCTTGTTAGCTGTCTTAGAAGAATTGTTTGGTGTTTGAATTTTACATTGTCCAGCCTTAAAAATTTGTGTGGACAGGCCATATGAGTTCTTCTCAGCTGCTTTAGAAAAGATCTAAATTTCAAAGCAGATCCTTTCCTTCCAGACGCTTGTCCTTTAAAATTAATTTATCAATGTAAAAATTATATTTGGAGTTTAAAGTAACTGATTTTATTTTTTCTTTTTACTTTAAATGTAAAAATTAAAGGTTTAAATTTTAAAAAATTAAATTTGTAATTTTAATTTGAAGTAGAATGTAATATATGCATCCATCATCACAAGACCTGAAGAACCATATCCACTTTGGAAATCATATTCTGTAATTCTGTCTAAATTCTTGCTGTATGCACAATCAATTTCTAAGAATTTTTGTAACTAGAAGAAATTTAAGACATCTTTTCCTCTGTGCCTGACCTTCCCCAGTTAATTGCATTTGGCAACATTTCAAGTGCAGAAAAGTGAGTAGTACCCACATTTGTTTAGACAGGGATCTAACATAACAACAGGAGAAAAAGAATTTCTTCCCCTAGTTTTGGCTTTTTTGTGGGGGGGAGAAAAAAACACCATCAGCAAGATAAAGGTATAAGACCAGAAACTAAAATTGTTTTTTTTCTCTCATCTTCATTTACTTGAGTTTGCATTTGAGAATGAACTAGACTTCAAGGTGAATGTGATGCATTTTTCCCTGCCCTATCATTCTGAAGAATTCAAAATGAGGGAAAGTGTCATTTTAATTCCAAAAGTAAACTAGGTTGTAGATAACTAGGTTAATGGGAATCCTGTGCATCTAGAACACTGTTCTTGGTGAAAAATGTTGCCAAAAAATAGGAGTTCCTAGCAATTGAGTGGATTAGTCGTGTTTGTTTTCCAGTTAATTAGCAGCCTTTTTTACTTAAACCAGCAGAATACTTTGTAGAGCTCCAGTAGATGTGAGAGACAGAGAACTCACTCTAGTTTATTTTATTTTCTTGCATAGTTGATGAACTTCAAAAACGAGTACACCAGTCAGAAAATCCTCCACCACCTCCTCCACCACCACCACCTCCTCCTCTTCCTCCTCCTCCTCCTCCTAACCCGATACGGTAAGTGCTTAAATCAAGAGTCACAGCATTAATGCATTCTGCTTCTTTGCTGAAGCAGAATGCGTTGCATGAGCTTGCATTCAAGCAGGAAAAGTGTCTTTAAAGAAAAAAGGTTTTCTGTACTTATCCTGGGCTTCGTTCCTTCCTTCCTACCAACAGGACACTCTGCCCCAGCAGGTGACAGACCACCACCCTGACCAATTTTGAACAGTGTCTCCCTTCCCAAGCCTAATGAATTGTCTAGACTGTGACTTTGGTGGGGGAGGGATACCTGTCTCCTCTAAATTTAGGAGATTATTTTTTTCAATTCACCTGATAGCTATAATTATAAACTTGAGAAACGCTTGTCTGAATCTGCTGCTAAGAATACCCCTTTGAAGCAAAGGATGTGTTGGATTACTGTGCGTCCCTTCCTGTCAGATGCCGGTGATGAAAATGCTGACTCCGTTGAGTTCCCACAATTGCTTTCATAATTTAAAAAGAAAATAGCCCTGTCATTGAGCAGTTTTGGTGAAATTATCAAAATCAAGCCTGCATTTTTCAAAGCACCTTAAAAGAGGATTACCAATATGATGTATCAGTCATTAGAGCCAAATTAGTGGAGCCCTAAGTTGTGCTCAGGTAGTTTCAGGAACTCAGCTAAAATTCATGTTGGGGCTACTTAGATGCTTGAAATAAAATACCTACTCCAGTGCACTGCTGGCCTAGGGAGACAGAAGTTCACATCCACTTTCCTGCCCTAACAGTCCCAATTTGTTTTGGAAACTTAATTTTCCAGACGTGTTGAAAATCCAGGAGCTCTTCCAGCCTTGTGCAAGCACTTGTTTTTGAACATCTTCCTCTCTTTAAAAAAAAAAAAAAAAAAAAAAAGTAAAAGAGGGACTTCGGTGACACTTTCCAACCTGCTGCATTAGAAATTGCATTCAGGAGTCTTGTTAGCTACTGAGTTAAATATGGAAGTCCTGGTGATTATTAGGGAGAATTCATGCCTTTGTGTGTGTTGCACAGTTTTTAAAAATTCAAAACAAAATATTTTCTGAACAACAGTGTTTGGTCATTTCCTCCTTTTACCTCCGTTAACTCTTTTGGCTTGTCTGCTCCTTTCTTACTGATATGTAGTATGAATTAATTTGTGTTTTTTTATATTTTTAAGTGTGGGTCTTTTAATAATCAAGATAGCTGACACATTTTAAGCCCTGTAGTAGCTAAATCAGAGTATTTTTTCACGCATTGTGAGGTTCATGTGTGTAAAGGTTGTTTTAAAAGCTAGACACTGAATGCAGCTTTTTTCTGGTACTGGGTTCTGACCCCTTATCTCAGTGAGGTCACTCTCCTTCTCCATCATGACCAATGCTCAGTAAAGACTGATAGGCCCCACTGACACATTAGATATGTGTTAGTGACTATACATGGGCTTTAAGATGAATCATTTCCTTGCCTGGACTTTTATGTTTTGATTATAGTTAATGATAACTATTTAACACTAAGAAGATTACAAACAGAAATCTTGGAGTTGGTGAGGAGATACTGATCACCATATTTAAGTGTCCTCTGAAGAATAATACTTTACTTTGATATCAGCAGCTCTTCCTTCCTTTTATTATGCCAGGGTAGCTTTGATTTGTCATGCGTCACAATGAGGTACTATCTTTTAATACTCAAAGTTGAAGTGTTTTGGTTTGTGCTTAACGTCTGTTAGAAAGAAATTTAAAAAATTATCTTCTGTATTTTGAGGGAAGGCATTGTGGGGGATAATTCACTGCATATGTCTGCATTTGAGAATTGTTACATGAGCCTTTTCTAAGTAGCTGTTTAATCAGGTAGTAAGCAAGCTGTTTGTGTGTCATGTTCAGAGTTCCTTCTGCCCGTGTGTAGTAGAGGACAGAATGACAATCTGCAGTTTCATTTTCCTGAAAGGTCTCTCATGTCAATGATTCGTAAGAGATCTCACTCCAACACCAATGTGAGCAAGAAGGAGAAACCTCCTCAGCAGGAGTCAGGTATGGCTCATGTTTTTTAAAATATGTGGATTATTCTCTATGTACTGCAATACTGCTAGTGAAAATGAACTGTGGGTACAGGTTTTCATGCATAAAGTTGTACCACTGTCCATGTCCCCAGTGTATTCATCTACCTTGCAGTCTAGAAATATGATTGCAGCCCAGGTATACGTGCTCAGAGATCCCAAGTGATATCTTTGGCATTGTAGCTTTGGTATTGCAAACTTCCTCAAGATTCCAAGAAAATTTGCCAAGTCCTTTTTGCTGTTGGTGCCCCACAACTGAGCTGGTGATCAGCAGCCAGTTTAGTTTTTTCCAAATATGTATTTTAGCAGACTGTAACTGTATGCAAGCATGGCTGGATTGTTAAAGGGGACCAACAGGCAGAAAGTGGGAGAAAGGGAAGTACTACCTGTCCCATTTTTTAGATGTGGAACTGAGGAATGGAGTGATTTTGGCAGGTCCCTTGGGGTGTTGCCCTTTGGCAACTGGTTACCAGTCTGAGAGAAATAAGGTTGTTGGTGTGGGTAAAATAATTACAGAAATGACCTTGTACCTAGATCTGTGATGAAGAGTCAATCTTATTTTTCACGTTCAATTATGCTGCCTTCATTTGTGAAGTTTCTTTATCTCCAAGCATCTTAGATGTTTTGATTACACCTTTTTATTGAGACTGTTACAGTGATTGCAGGGAATACTATGAAATTTACTATGAGTTCTCTACACCCCATTCTTTTATTATTTATTAGAAAACTTTTAACAGTTCTGACCTTTCTTCAATCACACATAAATTGCTTCTTCTCTTAATAGTTGAGCTGTTCTTAAAATAAAAAAGATAAAAAAGAGACAAGTTCTTTCTTGATCTAGTTATTATATCCAACTTGAGGCTTGTTTTGACCCTTGGTAAGGACTCAGAATGAGTGATTTCTATCGCATACCACCAATTAATCTTTTATACTTGAAACAGCCTGTTTGTGAAATTAAAGCCTGACATTAAATCAGCTTACAATACAGAAACTGCAAGTCTATTTAAAATTCCTGTTTTATAAGGCACTACATAACAGCTTTGAATAGCGTCCACCATATTTCTCCATGTTTTTGCTTTAAGTAGTCTTTTTTTCCCCTTTTTTGTATGGCATATTGTGTCTTTTGTTACATTATCCAAAACACTCATCAGTTATTAGATATCGTTTAGCTTCATCACACAGCTCCCAGTTTCATCTGAATATTTTGCGGTCCTGATACTGCATCTCTTGGAAAGCAGCCATTTTCTTTCATGGTGTTTAAATTTTGTCCTTTAACTCAATGCCATGTTCTTTAAATGCGTGGTTTTAGTTTGGTCTGAGATGTCAGTGTATCATTTCAGGAAGGTTCTTAAACCTGCCTGAAATAGGAGACACGTTTTTGTAGTCCTGTAATGGGCTAGATGTAGGCCTCACCGTGGGGAGCAGTTAACTTGTTCCGTGTTAACGAAGCTGTGGAAATTTCTATTGAACCATAGTAAACAGATATGTTGGAACTGGGGCTTATTTTTCACTCCTTGGTGCTTCAGTCTATAGCATTTAGCTTTTGCAACTCCAAACAGTTATAGGAGTTTTGCATTTTCCGGGAGCATTGCTCTTCTAAACTGGGGCAGGCGCTGCTCTCTGACATCTGAGAAGTCCGCAGCTGGATCCTCAACATGTGTAAACTGTCACTGCATCCTCGCACAGATTGTGACAGTTTAGCTGATAGCAAGTATCCCTAGTAGCCCTCAATGCAGAAACCAGAATTCTAGATAAATAGAGGAAAAAACTGTTGATTTCTGCTGCCGTGTAGAAAATAGGAATACCTTCTAGATGTAATACTTAGGGTGAGGTAAAGTGCCTCTTTGCAGTGGGGGAAAGTAAGGGTAAGACAGTGGTCCTGTAAGAAAGACCCTGTGAACAGCCTGCTTGTAGGGAGGAGAATAAGCCTGTATATTTATGCACGTCATTTACATTTTTAATAAAGCTGAGCAAAAAGCATGGATTTGGATTGTATCTGAGCAATATGCCTTGCTCATACAGGCATGAAGAACTACCATAGGTAGTATAACTAAGTGTACTGTATCTGTAAATGCCATTTTGTGATTAAAACTAAATTTGTAACTATGGCAACAGGCTGTATATGACAAGCAAGCTATTTAGGAGGTTACATGCTTTAATATACTAACAGTCTGTATGACAAGCAAGTTATTTAGGAGGTTACATGTTTAACATACAGGTTTCTTCATTGGGCTATTTTTCTGTAGTTCATGTCTGTAATGGGATAAGCTCTCTGATTTTGGAACAGGTGAAGAAGTTACGGATCTGAAGAGACAAGCTGTTGAAGAAATGATGGACAGAATTAAAAAGGGAGTTCATCTGAGACCAGTCAACCAGTCAAGCAGACCTAAAACAAAGGTTGGAGTAAACGGGAGAGTAATTATTATTAACCAAGTACAGAAATTTATATTGAAAATAAATCAGACTTTCCATAACACATTCAAAAGAATATATTTGCTTTGGTTTTCTCTTTTGCTTTGCTTGGTTTTGAATCAAATGAAATAGAGCAGCAGAACATATAGCCGAAGAACAGAAAAAAAAATGAAGCAAACAGTACACAAATACCCAGTTTCTTTGAAAATGAAAGCAAACATCTGGTAAACAGATAGCCACTGGGAAACAAAAAGCACTGAGAGTATAACTAGTAGTGTAAGTTGAATGGTCAAGAAGTCTGCTGTACTTAGCACTATTTCCTCCTTTTAGGTGACACTCAGCACTAATACGTGAATATGCCTACTGTCAAATAATGTTTACTGTCTTCATAAAAGCTTGAAATAGTACCCTATTAATCTTTCTTAATGTATAGGCTGTGGTTTATAGTGTTAATTTTTGAGCTAAGACTCTTCCCTCTATCTGTATAAGAAAATAGATTAAATGTTAGCTGTGTGCCAATGAGAGAAGAGACCAGAGAAACATAATACAACTGCATACCTATGCAGCAGACCCTGTATGATGCCTGTCCTCATGCACAAAATCTGTCATGGTCTGTTTCAGCTGGGCCAGATTAGTAAATATGCGGGGGGTTTTTTAACTTGCATGTGTTATGATTGCTTACAGCCAGAAACACCAAAACCCTCTGAAAGTGCAATGAAAGAACTGAAAGGGATTCTGGTAAGAAAACTTGTCATTTATGTATCATTTTTTACTTCACACAGCTGACAGGACCTTCTGTGCAAAATAGCTGGGTGTTTGAAAGTTCTGCATTAACATTTTGGTTTGAAGCTGTAGAGCAACTTTGGAGTGAATCCTGTTCACTTCCGCTTGCTGCGTTGGTCCTATTCACTGAATGGTTTTGGTCTTGACAACAAAATTTGTTTTGGAGAAAGCTAACCCGTTAATTCTTCTCCAGGATTGTATATTCCTGCCCTTACAGGGGATGGGATGGGCTACACCTGCAATAGGTCCTTTGGAAACCTTCAAAGTACTCACAAATGGGGACGCTCAGAAAGAGGGATCTGAATGTATCTAGTCCAAAGTAAAGCCCCTGAACTGCACAAACAGTGCAGTAGATAGGGTTCTCAGTGTAACTGATTTGAGCTCCTGCTCTCTCCTGGGACACCAGTTTCAGAAGGAGCAGAAAGTCACTGTAGTTCTGTATCTAGCTTGTTGCTTTTGAGCCCTTCAGGATATTTGCAGTATAAGACAGGCTATATAAAATCCAATTCCAGCCTGTTCTTGAGACCAGTCATTATGCGCAGTCAGACAACAAACATGGGGGTGGGAGGTGATGGAGTAAACATTCCTGTTTGTTGTTACTATGCTAATTATACATTTCATGTAGACCTCCATATAATTGTTATAAACAAAGCACATTTATATTCTGTAAATTGCAGAGTTAGAGTGGCTCAGTTACTCATGTTGCTTTTATATACATACATCATTTATACAGATCTGAAGAATATTACTTATTAATAACATATCTGCTCAGTTAAATTTCAAATACTCGCCAAAGAAAATTTTTTAACTTAGTGAGGGGGGTTGAGAAAGTGATTTTCCTGGAATCCTGAAAGTAGCACTGCTTTTGTGGCTTGAGATGTAACTTCCTTTTGTCATTTGCCATTCCTACTCAGTTACGTGCTTGTCAACAAAAGATGTTAAGAATATGTTATTCATGCTGTGGAGAAATGCTGTGTGAGTCTGACACACATGCAAAGGCTGAATAAACAGGCTTCCTGGGGACTCCCAATGATGGCAAGACTCAGAGGGAGACAGAAATAGAACATGGGTCCCATGTTTTCAGCTACATTATAAACATTCTGGGAAATTTTACAGGCAACTTGATACTGAACCAGGAGGCAGTGAACTCCCATCAGTTGGTGTAGGGCAGTAACGGCTTTGTATTTTGTATGCATAGAACACCATTTTAACCAGCGGTGTGATCCTGTGAGCACGAGAAAGTGAGCATGAAGTATGTGGAAATAGACTCAAGTATATGCCAGATCAGCTAGATTATAGACTACAGTAACCTGCTGCAGTTGCAGCTAGTACGTACTGACTTCTTCACATCTGTGTGCACACCTGGGTGCAACACAGGAGCACACCACAACGTAAAACACGCAAGAACAGTGAAATGTGCCTTTTTGCTCGTACAGGTTAATTATGACTGTGATATTGCTCTAACAGTGTTTTAAGATCCTTTAAATTTTAAGAGAAGGAAGTTAGAGGATCCTTGCAAACATCAGAGTTTGTTAGTGATCCAGAGCATCTGTGTTAAGCTTAATATCAACTCTCTAAGGAAGGTAAATATGGCTAGTCCAGACACAGGGAAATCCAGGTAAGGGGAGGAGTGACGAATCAGACCCCAGAGGCTTTCTGTGAAACAAGAGGGAAAGCTTTGCGCACTGATCTAGAACTGCCGTTGTTTTCCTGCAGTTTAAAACGTTCTCATATACTGCTGCTAATCTGCTTTGTGTGTATGGGATGTTTGGCAGGGCATAATGTACTCAGAGTGCTTTTCATGCCTATTTCTTGCTGTAGGAAACACTTAACAAATCTACTAGTTCCCGAAGCTTAAAATCCCTTGAAACAGACAGCAGCGAAACAGAGCTAGAACGAGTTCTGCGACGCCGAAAAGTGACAACTGACCAGGACAGTGGCAGTAAGTGGCTAGATTCCTTCGTAGTCCTCATCCTATCCCTGCATTAAGAGCCTCTTAAAGCGTTGCGGTGCCTCCCAGACCCTTGCCGTTTCAGCCAGTAGGTAGAACCCTGCCTACTTCTACACTGACTCTTGCCCATTCACCCCTGTCCCTTTTGCATCCCTGTTTTCTCCAAGAGATGCCCCTGTCAGGATTTTTTTGCACACACATCCATGCACACATATACCTGCGTCCTGACTGGAGTTAAGACGTTGCTATTAGAGTCCTTAGTCTCAGTCTCCTGTCAAAGTACTCTTGAAAGTAATGGCAACTCAAGAAATGAGGGCATGTGAATGCCGTTTTGAATTAGCCTCCTCTGCAGAGCACGGATCTGTAGTTTTTAAGCTATGCTTCACTGTCATCATCTTTAAGAAACGATTGATGTCCTACTTGGTTAGCCTGTCCTACAGGCTGTGCAAGCATTAAGTCTGTGCCAGAGCCCATGCAGACCTGGCTGGTTTTAATGTCACTGTAAGGGTTAGCTTGGACTTTGTAGATACAGTTCACTAATTACTCGTTAGTGTTAAAACAGACTTTTTTGTAGGTGGGTTGGCCCTCACTCTAGCTGCACTTCAAGCTAGGAGAGCACGGTAAAGCTATGACTCCGTTGGGCTGTGTTGGCAGCAGGACTTACCATCTCCCGTTGCAAGGTGACTGCCTGCATGACTGTCTAAACATAGCAGGCCCTGCTTACAGTACAAAGAGGGGTTAACTTTGGAGCACAGAACAAAAGCTGCAAATATGGTATTTTGATGCTTTCCCTGCACTGGATGCTGTTCTTTAAAATCCCATTTTGATTTTTGCAGTTAACTTGAATTCTGTTGTGCTTACGTGTCGTTTCCAGGCCAGTCAACTTGGATAACAGAAGTGCTAAACTTTCTTTGGATTTTAGGTCCCACTGGAATTCTGGCCACATCAGAATCAAAATCTCTGCCTGTGCTGGGCTCAGAAGCCAGCGCTGCTCAAACAGCATTGAACAAGAAAGAACTGGAGACGGAATTCAGTTGCACAGCACCTGATTCAGATCCTGTTTCTAACCAGCTAAAGGGTAGCACAAGTTCCAAGGGTACATCGAAGTAAGTAAAATATGGATCTCTAGCCATATTTTCATATCAGATCTGTTTAGCTGGTGCATTTTGCAAGTGTTTTCACATCAGTTTTAGTTAACAAGATTAATGTTCCGCTGTTTTTATCAGTGATTCTCATTTGGGGGTAGAGGTTGGGCTCTGTAATAAAGCTGCTCTTCCCTTAGAACCTGTGAACATTCTGCAGAGAGGAGCTTCATGGTCCCTGCTACAGAAAAGTACAAGTTTTTGAGGAATAGCAAATTTGAGGTTTTTTCCATATCCTGCAGAGAAGAAGGGACAAAATTATGTCGTTCTTGATTTTTAAAAAGGCGATTCTAACCAAAGGTTTTAAAAGATAATATCATATAAGCCATACTGGTCTGTGTGCAGGTGTATGGGGTGGTTTCCATTGGACCAAAAGGAGTGTACATTGTCCCTCTTAAAAATGTTGGTCAAAATGCGGACTTACCTTTACATCTCATGATTAAGATTCAAAAAAAAAAAAAAGCGGTGTGTTTGCACAGGTAGGCTGAGTCATCTTTTATCACAACAGACTGAAGCTTCAAGGTGCCATTTAGGCATCAAGGAGTTAATTCTGCTTCAGAAATATTTATTTCAGACAGATCTGATGGAGGATCAGTTTGTTTTATAACATACCAAGCTCCTTTTGAAATTAGGCTGCAGACTTGCTTCAGTTCCCTTGCCAGGACGTTTGTTGGTTTGTCACTTAAAAGGAAATAGATGGGACAAATCAGCAGACTATTGTAATCATGGCTAATTAAACCTCTGTTTTCCTGTTCTATCAGTTAGAAAATACCACCACTACCAATTCTAGCAGGTCTCCATTGCTTGGCTTAAAGGAGTAAGCCATGACAAATGAACTGGAAGTTCAGTTCACATCTATTTTCATGAACTGATATTTACTTTACTCTCCTACAGGTACTTTTATCATTTATTTTTGAATGGACAGAGAGCCCAATTTCCTTTTTGTGCCCTACAGTTTTATTTCATTTCCATTGAGTTTCAAGAGCAGACTGCCTTTTCCAGTCAGCTATTTTCCCCTTTTATTTCATTTAAGTATCCCTAAAATAAAGATGATCTTCATTTTAATTTAATCAGAAATATGAAGATATGTTCAGCAATTAATTTGACATGAATAATGCTATTACATTTTCTTGAACTAGTACCCTGATAGAAAGGTGAGGTTGTTCCTGAAGAATACCTCATATGCAGTGTGTGGATTTATACTAACAGATAACCTTAATCAGAAAATATAGCAACTCCTACCACCTTTTGTCTACCTTTTATTCCACCAAACTAAGTGGAAACTGTATTTACAAGAAAGGAAATGTAATAATTGTAGGCCCCAAGGTCTTGCAGAATGCGTGGTGAATTGACAGTGAAAAGGATCTTGTGCTGACAGTCACAGTTGTTACGTGTTACAAAAGCATATGTGAAGCTCCATTTATTTTGCAGCTTGCCCATTCAGTGACATCCGAAAAGACCCATTTCATTTTAATTTATCTGTTGAAAGCATTCAAACAAATGTAGTGGGCCAGATTACCTTAGTGCTGCAGGGCTGCTTTGCACCACGCCACTGGTGTAAACCTGCTTAATTGGAGACACTCATTGATGGAGGATTGTTCTCCAGTGAGGAAGAGGTGCGGGGACTCTCATCTCTACTGCTGCTGGCTGCCAGGGAGGATTGGAACTAGCTGTGATGCTCCATACTGTGTTGAAATGCAATTGCTTTTCTTTTTCTTCTGGGTACTGTTTGCAGCAAAGGTTAGCAGGAGCAGTCTCCAGACTCCAGGGTGTATAGTGTTGTGTCAGAAAAGGGCTCATTTGAAGCAGACATCAGAAGGAAGTTCATTTGTCTAACATGTCTGACGACTTAGCTCTGTAATTAAGCATTTTTCTGGACTTCCCTGGGTGCATCTATATTAATAGCTTAGTTTGGATCAGGAGTGTATTTTTGAAGCAAATCTCCCTATTGTCCCCCCTTGCTATGCTTTGATGTGGTCTCAGTTCACAAACTGGCTTCTTTATGGGTGAAACTAAATCAGAAGATGTGCTCCAGCCTTTAATGGCTGCTCAGGCCAGGGGCCACACAAGAGCTAGTTCAATGTAAAACCCCTGAAACAGATATTATGAGGACATCGCTCCTCAGCACAAATTGTTTCTCTCTCCAGCTCTGCTCCTATTGCCTCACACTACTTGCTTAGGTAGGCCTAGCCCATGTTAACCAAACAAACATGTTGCTTTGACCAGATACCCTAAATGACAAAGGCATGCTCTTCTTCTCCTCGTTCACACCTCAGGTAAAGCGATGTAGCTGTCATCTTTTGCAGTTCCTTGAAAACTGACAAAGTCGTGACCTACATCAACTGTTTTCAGCAGCTAAGCAAACCTTTGACAGCGCAGCAGAGGATTGCACGTCTCGTAATTACCAGGTGTCCCTTCCAGTGCAGTATTTACCCTTTTTCCTTCAGCTAGATTTTAATGCATAGCTTCCTATAGAAAACCTTACAGATATTCATGCATGAGGTGTTTCTCTTTGCTACACCAGCCATTTACAAAGGCTTGTAATCTCAAGGAGGAGGAGTAATACTTACAGATGGTTAAATGCTCACAGCCCTGTTCAGCATTCTTGCTTCATGTGGAGTAACAGTTAAGCGCACCTGGTCTCAGGGAGAGAGAAGGTCGTGTGTTTGGTAGAGACCCAGTCTTGAAAATATATCTATGAACGATACTTACACAAAAGTCAGGGCATTGAGCAAAATCTTGGATTCCTCCTCCCGCCCTAGTTGATGGCGATCTAACCTTAGTGATAATGGGATCAGGATGTCAGTGGCTGGTTTAAATAGGGCTCCACACATCAGTGGGGTTACTCGTGGTCTTAAGTGTTACGAAGGCGTTAGCCTAACTGAATCGGCTGGGACGCTTGTGTTAGTTGCTTAAGGAGGGATTATGGAAATGGGCTGTAACATGAACAAATATAGGTTAATTCTGAAACTTCCCTGGAATCAAACTAATTCATGATATATCAGTCAGAGAAATTAATTCAGAAGAAAAATTTGGGTTTTGAACCCAAATTATACTGATAATTTAGGTATTATTCAGTACAGGAAATTATTAAAACAAAGGTCTGAGGCCATTAAGCAGCTGATTTGGAATGTGTGAAGTTTAGCTGGAGTGAGTTTAGCTGGAAAAGGTGCAAGTCATGTGTCATATAGAGAAACAGAGGCCTTCAGTATTCAGGTAACTTCCTCTACAAATCTCTTCCTAAATGTTTGACCCAGCATGAGTGTAATTCTGTGACAATTTCTCAGGAGAGAATAGGTGACAATTTTGTTTTCTTGAGAGCAGAGAGTTCCTGTGGCTCCCTGTGGCGTGCAGACACAGAAAGGAAAGGTGTGTCTGGTTCTGCCCCTCTTTTTTTTTTTCCCCCAGCACTTTGTAAACATTTTGTTTCTGGGCAGCAGAGTTCTCTGTTAACGGAGTGAACCACAGAGGAGGTTAGTCTTAATCTGATGATTTTATACAATTAAAGGATTTGTCCTCCTTCTCCCGGCTGTAATCTTAGTACCCCTGAATCATCTACCAGCTCTGCGGGAAGCAGCTCAGCCTCAGCTAGGCAGAACTACAAAGGTTTTCCAGTGCAGCTTGAACATGGGCAATTTAGTCTGAACAACAGAGGAAGAAAACAATGGGATGTTCTGGAAGTTTGAGAGTCTTCTCATTTTTAACCATTTTAAAAGCAACTGCCAGATGTATTTTTCTTAAACTGTATGTTCTGTGTACTCTGACTCTTAGTGTGGGTAGCAGCTCTTCAAGAGTCATCATTTAAATTAATTTGCCCATCTTTTTGAGCATTGTCAGAGAAAAGTGCTTAAAAATGGGAACAATTTCCCATGACTTACTGCAGCATGCTAAAGCTTGTCTAAAATTCAGTTCTGCTGTTATGTTGACAAATTTCTACTCAGCTAGTAGAGGGATTCCTGACATGGAGAGGGTTTCTTGTACTTTCTTCACAAGCATCTAGCATTAGAAAGTATCAGAAGGAGGAGGAAAGACCCGAGGAACCAACAGACTTAATTCGCTAGCGTCACTGTCTGTATGCCCTGTAATTTCCGTTTGAAAAATGCTACACCATGACAGAATTTTTTGGTTTAGTAAAGACTGATAAGACTAACAGTAATAATTTGTGTGTTTCTTGCTGTTTTTTGAGTGTTAGTCTTCGGTCCTGTCTGTTGTATTTCATGTCTTGTTACAAGTTCTGAAATATTTAATAAATGCATAAACTGAGGATAAATTTGACCCACCTCTTGTGGTCTGGCATGCAACAGATGGACCGCAGTGGCCTTCTGCAGAGTTGAGACCCACTATCCTATATAGGCTGACACAATGGGCTGTTTAATGTGGGTCAGAGGCAGGACAGCTGAGCTGTTGTTATTTGGCCAGCTATCCTAGTATGGCAGTACGGAAAGGATGCAGAGATTAGAGTAGCAGTAGTCCGTAAAACTGCCCTGTGGTACTGTGCCAGATTATAGGTTGGTAAGAGGCTTTTTTCATGCAGGCTTCCGTTCTCCCCTGTGAGCCTAGCTCATTTGTATGAGCTATGTTGCGCATGAATGAAGTTTGTCTTCAGTTCTGGGGATCCTGTAGAAAAATAGGGGCGGGGGGCAGAGCAGAGAAGTAACAAGCTGTTACTGAGATGCAGCCATGGTTTTTAATCGGTACGAAGAAGCAACTGGTGGTGGGCAACTGTAAAATTAGCGTAACGCTTCCAGTATGATCTTCCTGGGGTAAGGTATAGCACCAGCTGAGTTTATTTTGAAACTTTAAAAGCAATTTTGCTTTGAAAAGAGATTATAGGCATTTCAGTGTGCTAGATTAGGGAGCTTGCTGAAAGACGAAGTATACTCATTTGATGCCATCCAAATGTTGGCTTTTGGATCAGAAATGACTTCAGTCATGCCAGGTCAGGTCCCAGGCAGAGCAAGATTGTATCTACCTGGAATATACCATACTCAATGTACTTGGGGAACCAGTCTTTGCTGGAATAGGCTTTTGTCAGCGTTTTCTAAGTAGGGTGTAAGAAACATGGATTTTAATACAGTGTTTTCCTTGGATCGTTTCCTTTAGGCTTCTGCATCTACATATGGGCAGGACTTTGTCCAAAAAAATTTGTGTGATATTTACACAAAATTCTGATTTCTGATGGAAATATATTAAAACGGTTTCATGAATAAAACACCAAGCAAGGTTAAATAATGTTAGGTTTGTAATAGTAACCGATGGAAACAAGGAAAATCCACGTATCAGTTAACAATCCAATCCTTAGTTTGCGTTTTTGTACTGCTACTGTAAATTATTTACAGAAGGCACAGCAATAGCTCACAGGTCCGTGAGTTATAACCCTTTATTATTACATCTTCTGTAACTTCTATAACTCTAAAAATGGAATATATTGCTTGTGATACTCCTATATCACTCTAACAATGCTACATGAGAGTTTGCATATCTTATACAATTAATCTAAAATGTATTTATCATGGATAAATTTACTGAATTTCACAGTACGAATTTTGTGTATTTAGTCGTAATACATGTGACTACAATATATGCAAACTTAAAACAATTATATATAGATGAGTACAATAACACTAGGTTTCCAATTTCTGGCTTAAATATATAGCTGAACAAATAACAAGAATACTGTTAACATTAACAATCTTAATGAAGAGAAAGCTCTGCATAGAGCTAGATGCAAATACCTTGACTCGACAAATTTGTCACTGTTCAAATCTGTAGCTAGCTGTATCTGCACTAATTGCTTTTTCCAGCTTTATTTATAGCAGCAAAAATTGTTTTTTGAGAGAGGCCACCAAAATTATGTTCATTCTTGCACTGAAACTTTACTATACTTGCATTCTGCTCTTGACAAACTGTTGCAAATGAGCTATGAATACCTGATAAATGGGTTAATAATTTTTAACAATACCTCAGCTGTAACAGCAGCACTTGAGGCCGGTGCAGCAGCAGTGTGAAGGATTTGAAGAGTGGAATGCTAGTAAAACGAAGTCTGAGTAGTAATTCTTATTTTTATGCCTGAAACGCTGATTTAATCACTAGTTTTCTCCATTAAACTACTTTATATCGACATCTTTCATTTTTCTGTCCTTTGAAGGTGGTAAATATGATTGCCGTTTTATCCATTTTTGTTATAAATGAAACAGACTTCAGAGTGTTTGGCTGTGCATCGGTTGCTGGAATGCTGCCATACACTAATGCAGACTCCCCGCTGTGAGCCCAGTGAAGAATTATACTTTGATTCACCAGATTGTATTAAATAGTCCAGCTGTTGGGATTTGAAAGATAGTTACCTCCAAAGTGAAATAAAAATGAACTTGGCATTTATGGCTTTGACCATTTTTATAGTGTTGGGCAATCAGCTTTTCAGAGGTAGCACTTTTTAAAATAACCCTCTTCTGGTTATACTGCTTTAAAAAGTTTAATTTGCTATAACATTCAAAATACTCCACCTTGTATTTTCCGGAATGATTGGCAACTTTTGCATAAAGTAAGCATTATTTTCCTCATGAAATCACTACCTTCTGATGATAGTCAAATGAGTTTGAGACTGTATCTATTAGCATCAATTTCTGAATTAATTAACTTATACCGAAGTTCTAATGTTAGAGACAATTCTTGTAATTAAAGCTCGAACATGGAATTTCATTTGATACATCCATTGCTTCAGTAACAAGCTGAGTAAATTCTTTCTGAAACAGAAAATGCAACAACTGTTGTTTCTATGATTTTTTTTTTAACCTGTATATTTGGCCAGTGCTCTCAGCTCCATGCTCTAATTGTTGAGTGAGAGTGACCCTTTTTTTTCTGTGTCTTTCTCTCTGAGACAAAGACTGTCGCAGTAGAGGATAGTTCCATAGCAGGTGGATCCACTGCACGAATTTCCTCTTCTGCCCTCCAGTTGATTCTACTTTTTCCCTTTGACAGTGTTATCTTAACAGCAGTATGTAAGGCCATTCCTTCTATGTAAGCAGAAAAATAAAATATGGCTGTTGACTAGTAGATGCAGTTGCATTCAGCAGCTCTATAGTGAGGCTTCCCATGAGAGCTGAGCTGTGCGCTCACTGGTACGTGTAGGACCTTGCTGCACTAAGCATTTTTGTACCTGACCAGTTTGGTGGTTGTAGCTGTATCAGTGGAGACATCTATATTGTGTTCACACCATTGTGGAAGGCCCTGTTCGGAGCAGATGTGCCTAGTATGTATGTGTAACTGCCTTGAGGACAGTCTCTCTAAACACATCAGGTTACATACCAACCTGTAGGAAGCCCACAGGTACGTGGAGTCCCACATGCTCTGGAAAGCATCATGAAGGAAGTGTAAGCCCATGCTGTGAGCTGTCTGCCTGACTATATATGTAACAAGCTAGGTCTTGAGGGCAGCCTTAAGATGGCACAGGCATATCCCTACCTGTGACTTGCTGAGGTCCTGCTGTTCCAGTGTTTGCCTTGTTTTGTGCTGGTGCATTTTATCTAATCTAAAAAATTTCCTGCATGTTTCCTACACCAGTACAAATGAATATGTACAAGTGACATGTACATTCTGAATATGTACAAGTGCTTTTAATGTTTATACCATGATGCTAGCCTAGACAAATCATCCTGGTGTCTCTGACCCTCCTCCCTCTGTGCTCAGAGGGCTTTTTATCTACAAAAATATCTTCATTGCAAGCCATGCAGACATAATCCCATTTCTGAAGTACAGAATGTAGATCCAGTGCCCTCTGCACTTCAGCAAATCCAGAAGCTGAATTCTCAGAAATTGTTCCCACTCTCTCCCCTTGAGACTGCTAGCAGCCTGTTGGTGCTGTGCCACCCTGGAAAATCTGGTTATTTACCTCTATCTGCCTAGCATGCAGTAAAGTTTAGTATAGCAGAAGCTCCGTTCGAGTTGTTCTGGGATGCAGATGTGGAGGAGAAGCCATGTTCTCCCTTCAAGATACAGTACTGTTAGTCTATAGCCTACAGAAACTATGCCTTTTCTTTGGGTGCAGCTCCTCCAGTGAATATAGGGGAACCTAAATCCGGCTCTGAGAGATACTGGGGGAAAACAGATTCTTAAGATTATTTTTCAACTGATTCCTTCATAGTCTGAGGATTTTTTCAGTGCTTTGTAAGTTAATTTTTCCTGTTAAATATCTGGTGTGGATAGCTTAAAAATAATTCAGAAGGGGTAATGTGATTTACATTTAGTGTACTACTATGTATATGTAACAGCTATAGTCTGCTACCTGTATTCATATATTTATTCTTTTTTCTTTAGATCACCTAGTCATACAGGATTTACAAGAAAAGCTTCTACCAGTGAAAAAGAGACAGAATCTGTTGTAGTTTTAGATCCTGTTTCCACCAGTGGGGAGTCTGAAAACATGCTAAATCAACACAAAAAGAAGGAAGAAAAAAGCAAAGCACTGCATAAAGAAACTAGTATCGAGAAAATAAAAGAGACAGACAGTTCTAGTTGTTAATTGTTATGCCAAAAGGCTGTAACTTTTGGGATTCTATATCTGGACATGTAAATTGCTTAGGTGTGTTACAAGGGGCTACAGTCTGTACTCCAAACAGTTTTCAATAATACCAATTGAAACTCTTTTTTAATGCAGTTTTGTTATATGAATTAATGGATTAAATAACTATGCATTACCCAGTCCTTTTTACATTTTAATTTCACTGGTATGGTTAATATTTTCTTAGATACTATCGGTTACCTGTTCTTTAAAACTGTGGTTAAAAAGGGTTTTTTAATTATTCTTTTCATGAAAAGATTCTTTTTAAAGGTCTGTTCTAAAGCTTGCTGGAAGCCCCTTGCATCCGTCTTGACTTGAATGGGCTTTGGGTTAGACCCCAAGAAGGTGATCACACACAAAAATCATCCTTAGTATGGGAGGTAATATCAACAATGAGAAAATAAGCCTCAGACACATTGCCTTAAAAAATTTTGATATCTATTTAAAACAACGTCCTGGAGATCTCCTTATTGCTGTCTCCACACAACCTGTTTTGACTATTTTGAAATTTAAAAGCACAAGCATAACACTTTTGCTTTAGTTTGTTTCCCCAGTAGACAGCTAGTAGGAAGAATAAAAAGCACAGGCAGTGCAGCACGTCATTTTGATACCAAGACTTTTGGTACTGGTAGTCAAAGTCAGAAGTTTGTGGGTTGAGACTGGTGTTGTCATTTGGATTAAAAACTCTTCAAAGGAGGGCCTTTCTCCTAGGTTTTGTTTTAATTGTTACCTAGCAAAGTTTGGTTCTAATGCAACTAGAGTCTTTAGGTGCTTATCATAGGTTCCCACGAATATGGACCACATCTGGGATTCAGTCATTACAGGATTCCAGGTTATTTGGAATCAATATTTTGAGAACTCCCAGATCAAGCCCAGTTGCACTAACACATAAACCTTTGCTCTGAGCATTGTATAAATTGGTGGCATTAATTTCTTTATTTAATAAAATAAATATCAGTTTGCCTCAACCCTTCTTTCCAGTGAAGACAATGTGATAGGTACATCATTTGCTCCACTGCCAATTCACATTCCATTGTAGTTTTTTAAAATTCAACACAATATTTAATTATTCTATAATGAGCAAACAAATGTAATCAGGGATTTACCTAAAGAAAATTGGTGTAACTGAAACTGGGTGGCCATGTACGTGAATGCACTTGGATTATTTTTTATTTAATGATCTGAAACAGTGATAGTACTAAAGAATGAATGTTCCGAGTTTGTTGGTTTGGCTCTGCATGCAACTGTCTGGTGCTTTTCATAAAAATAAAATGATAGTAATGAGTGTGGTGGTTCCACATCTGTTTTGGTGTTTTTGCATGTTTGCTAACAAAATCGTGGATTTGATCTTTTGATCTAATTACTGAACTATGTATAATTCCTAAATTTGGGGAAATTTGTCTCTCATTTTGTTGTATATCTTCATTTCTTTCTTTCTTTCTTTTTTTTTTTTTTAAATCCTGGTGGCTAATTTTGCACTTAGATATATGATACACTGAATTTAAAATCTGACATTTTATGTATGTATTTTCCTCAGATTATTACTGCTATATTATATGTTCAAATGATATAAAACCAGAAGTTTTTTTAAAAGTATTTCTTTTACTTAAACTGTTTGTTACCTATGATATAAATTATTTATCTTTTCACTGTTGCTTATTAAAAAGACCACTGACAAGTTTCCCAGACCTTGTGAGAAATTGACTTGTTATTCCCTGCTTCAGACAGAAGCAGGCTTCCTATTGATGCAAATTACAGCTTTGTGCCCTACATTTGGGGTTTGCACTGATGCACTTCTGTTGATAGCTAGCTAGAACTGGAGCAAAATCTCCCTTGTAGGCTAGATCTAAGAGCAGCATTGAGGGTGCGTGGGGGGATGGAGGAACGTAACAGTCAAGGCCTTTGTTTTTTGTAAAATGTTTTTTTACTGTTTGTCAATAGCTTGTTCTTTGTATGGAGAGAGATTTCTTCTGTCTCAAAACAAACATTTAGTTTTGGAATTAACACAGAGGTATTTGTTTTTTCAATTTGTAAATACAGCACAGAATTTTGTGGTATTTTCAAACGATAGCTACTACTCGATTAACTTGGTTTCATCTGAAAGTAATAGTCTCCTGGCAGAAGACAAGCTAATATGTGAATGCTTTTAAACATTTCTAAAGTGCTTGTAAACAAATAGACTAAGGAATAGTCAATATATAAATTCCGTACTAAAATAACTATTTGTTAAAAATTTACCCAAAAGTTAATTTGGACAACCTATGTCAATATGCTGTCCTGTGCAAGCTGGGCAGTCAGGTTCTGAACCTGCAGGACGGGCTGAGAGGGCCGTGGAGGCAATTAATCCTGCTTTGGCAAAGGGAGTAGATCAAAAAGTTGTTCTGGCTGTGTTTCTTCAGCAAAATTGATAAATTCAAGGCTTGCTTCAAACCCTGAAAGAGAAGAGAAAAAAGAAACGTTCTTATGTTTGTTGAAATCGCTTTTTTGGGGAATTTTCTCTGATGCACTCAGATTAAAAAAAAAATTCCTGAAGATGCTTACAAGAGTCTCTAAACACCTCTAAAAGTCTGGTCCTTAAGAGACACAAGGGCATTTTCTGCACTTTGATTGCAGGATTAGAACGTGGTGCACAGCAACCTGTGCTGGCATATTTATGGCATTCCTTTCTTATGTACTTATCTCACCTTGCTGCTCACTCCCCTTGGCTCTGGCCATCCTCCCTTTTTTAAACATCCATCTCCTGCATTGGTACTCTTGCAGCAGTTCCCATCAGCTGCCTGTGCCTTGTTCCCTCTCTATCCCAGTCTCTAACAGCTTTATATAAGCGCAAGTTCAGATGTTGCTCCCATAACTAATACTTTGCCTCTCTTCTCGCTGCTATTTGTCCTACGTTTGTGATCCTCTGTTCTTCCCTAACCTCACGGATTCCTTCTGGAACATGCGTGCACCACATACCCAATGCCTGCCCCAGTTACTTCTTGGTAAAGGGATGGCCAGTCTGTGATTTAGCTTGCAAATAGTTCATGTGTGTCTTCTGCGTGTACCTGGGGGCTGAAACACAGCATCAGCAATGGGGCTGCTCTTACACGAAGACTTCTGCGCAATCTACATTCCTAACTGTGAGAGCAGACAGGGCGGCAGGGAGAGCTGAGGTCAACGTTGTTACAGGGGGCCCAGCTGCATGCCCAGTTCAGTCGAGCCTGGTGAGACTCCTGACAGGTCAATGCCACCTCCTGTCTATGAACCATTTACAGAGTCCACCACCTTTCAGCGCTCCAGCGTATTTTGTATCTTGCAGCCCAGCCAAATGACGTGTTTGGCATGCAGCTCAGACGCCCTATCACGATATTTCCCTGCTGTTGATTTAGCTATTGGAGTTTATTCCTGCCAAAGTAGTAATAGCTTCAGGAATTGTGCAGTTTCATTTTATGAGCTATACTGTTAAACATCTGTTGAACTTGAGCTCTTTTATTTAGACTATATCCATTTTAATAGGTTATATATTAATATTGCTGAGGCAGTTACAGCTTCTAACTATTTATAATTATCTGGCTTGTTTTTGGAAAGCATAGTCTGTGAAATTATGTTCTTAGTACAAACGATTGCTGTGTATTTTTCTATTGGTTACATGATAATTTACAAGCAAGAGGGAGAATTCCATAATTTAGAAAATTATTCAATGAAAAAATATTTTTGAATAAAAACTTTGTTCTATAGCACCTTGATGCCAAGTGTTGCTATCCTATGTATCAAACATGGAAAATGACTAGAAACAAAAGGGTAAATGAGTTAGTTAAGTAGTAACCTTAATTTTTCCTTTTCTTAGTCATAATAAATTTGTGCAAATTCTTTCCTTCCTTTCTCCCCCTGCCCCACATCCGCCCCTTGTCTCTCTGCCCTCCCTCAAAAATGGATGCCATTATTGTCTCTTGATTGATACCTGAGCAAATGAGAAGTGGCTCTAATGAACTGTTAAGTATTAACGGAGTAGAGAATGATGCAAAAAGAAGATTCAGATCCTGAAACGCACACAGATGCATACAAGTGGAACTTTGGTCCTTCTCAGGTTTTATTTAGTGCTTACCCATGTAATTGTAGCTTTCCCAACACATTTTGTTGGAAACGTAACAAACAAGAGGGTTGTGAACTGAAGTTCTGTTAGCAATATATGTTTAGGAGCCTGAAGCGGTTGGATTTTTTGCCCTAAAATTACGTTTTAGCAGCTATTTGGAGTGTTATATGCATGGCTTTTGTTTTGTTCTTTTTGCACTATGGGCTTCAAGACTGCAACCAATTAATTCTGGAAAAAAGCTTAATGTAGGCTATTCCTCAAGAAGGGGTCTATTTTAACATTCAGTAAACAGATAATCCATTAGGACAACAATATACATTGTGGCAAGTGCTATCCTAGGTTTTTTTTGTCAGCACTTATTTATAGTCTTTTGATTCCGCTTCCCTCCTGTGGTGCAGTTTCAATCATTCTCCCTCCAATCTTTGTTCTTGTATTCACTGCAAGCTGAAAACAAAGTAAGAAAGAAGCTCATACGTAGCGTTCTATTCTTGGCCAGTTCTTCCTCTATAGCAAGAAGGCGGTTGTATTTGGTCACCCTTTCTCCGCGGGAAAGACCTCCCAACTTGATAAACTTGGCACCCAGTCCAACAGCCTTAAGACAATAAAGTGCATATTTTAAAACTGTACAGTTTGGGAAGTGAAGTCATTCTTAATTATTTAACGTAGTATCCTACTTCTAACTTAACAATCTCATTATCTTTCTACAGATAAAACCCTCCTTTAAATACAAATAAAACCTGTTACTGAATGAAAGAGATGTTGCATGCAAGCAATAATTTTCATTGGTTTAAGAAATGATATTTTATTTGCAAATTTGATTTTAATACAAACAGATTAAATATATATCAGCATTCAGAGTTTTTATATCAAATATCATTACTATTTGGGAATGTTTTAATATTTTTATAAACTAATGCAACAAAATAGATCATATACACTTGCTTTAGCACATTGCCTGTATCTTCTCTTTAAACCTAAAAGATTAACTCTCTGTGGAGGAAAAAAGCAACTCTCTAGAAAAAGCCCATTTTGTAAAAGGTTGTTTCTTTCTCACACAGAAACAGCCTTTCTCCTAAAAACCAGTTCATGATAAAAGCAGTGTTTTTGGCAATTCTGCAATTGAACAGCTTTCAGTACTTACCAGATCCACAAGGCTATCATCAGAAGATTCTCCATCTGGACTTCCTAATATGGTAATATGTCTTTGACCTATATATAATGGGAGTGTATAACCTTCATTAGTATATATTTTTATACATTTGACATAGAAATTGTTTGAACTTTTTTATTTTAATTTGGGCTAGACAGGATTAAATACAAACATGAGTAAAAGCAATAAAACCTAGCTCATAAAATAAGTAAACTGTATTAGTTTGCTACAATATTGGCATTAACATTATGCTTTTTCTTTTCAGCATGGATAAGGCTATATCTAACATCCCATCCTACTTCTTAGCTCTAGCCTATCTGGTAATGTATTCTATGGGGTAGAATGCTGTTCTGTGTATTTCAAATGTGCTCCTTAGTGTAGCAATAATTTTTTATCACTATGAAATCCAGTTCTCCATCAAGACTGAATTAAAATTTAAGTTGCTGTTTACTCACTTTGATATAGTGATTCTGGGCTTTTTGAGGAATAAGGAAGGAACTTAGATACATTAAATTTGTCTATCTATTTATTGGGTATAAAAATGAATAAAGAAAAATTTAATACAAAGAAAAATCTCACATATGAACCTGCAGAAGTACTGATTACTGTAACCACAAAGGCTTAATTATAGACAATAATCTATCTAAGCTGCAATTTTAAATATTTTGACTTATTCAGATTTTTTAATTATAACCTAGTATTAGTCAAAATTCAGATTTCTCAGCTATATCACGCTGCTTTTTTTGATTTAATTCTGATGTCTAAATGTATGATGTTTGTAGCATCAAATGGCACGCACATTCAAAACATTCACAGTGTATTAGTTTGCTATAGTGAAGCCTGTTTTAAAATCCTAAACAGAGATTTGATAATCCAATCATGAATTGTAGTTTCTTCCGACAAGCACTTTCTAAATTAGAAGTGGCTATAATTAAATAAAAAGTGTAACGTTTACATGTACAGCAACACCATTTATTGACTGGAAAAGTTTAAAAGCCAGCCTTTTCTCCCCGCCTACTCACCATCTAGAAGTCCAGTAAGTTCTATGAGATCTGATACCTTGGTTTGATTAATATATTTTAGGACAATGCCACTACATTGTGGTAGGTTTATGTCTTGATCAGGTATGAGTTTGGAAATACTTGTGGCTGCATCTTCGGCAATCAGGAAACATTTGGAACCAAGAGCACAACATATGTTATTCCACTGCTTTCTGTCCTGCATAAACAGTCACATACAGTTTAAAAAAAAAAACAGACCCAACCCCTAATTCAGAAGGTTAATAATTAAAAAAGTACAGTTCATTTGGATTCCATCCTAGAGGTACCCTTCATATACATACATTATATTTTAAATGTGTCTACCTAATAAAAATACATCTCCAACATTTTGCTTGGATTTTAAGATCTTGCTAGAAAACATAAATTATAACCTGGAATTAATCAAAGCTACTTGCACACAGGCATAATTTTAAATATTTCAATTTAAATTAACTGTAGGATTCTGCTGTTTTGATTTCACTCCTCCTGAGATTTAGTTTTAAAAAGTGTTTTAATGGAATATAAAATAATTTTCTGTTTTGGATTCAGAGGACTCATTTATGTGTTAATATTTGAAGTGTCCTAATAGATATTTAAATAAGAAATAATGAAACAGGAGACAGCCATAAACTCTGTGACACATATCAAGACAGCAAGATGGGAGCCTTAAGACTGACCCATGTGGAACAGCAAGTAGCAAAGCTTTCTTTACATAGAAGCTCCATTTATTTAGGATCTTTGTTTCTTGATTTTAGTGCAATATTCATATGCTGTTGAGATTTAATGATAAAAATAAGTAAATAATCTGAAACAAGAAATTTACAAATTCATGTGCTTTGTTTGTGTCCACAAAATGCAAAGTTCTCATATTAAAAACACACACATTCTCTTGTTAATAATTCTGCAGGTAATAATTCTTTGTCTACAGATCATAAAGAATTTTGTGCCCATCTACTTGCAAGCTGTATGAGGGTCCCTTCCTACAAGGCTTTCAAGCACATATTTAAGTGAAAATGAAGTCACTGACACCTGGGCAAATGCTTGAAGTTAGGTACTGAAGTGGTCAGCTGTCTGGCAATGAACCGTTGAATTGGTACCAGAGCTAATTCTCAAGTATCTAATTATCCGTGGCAAAGATGTGGCATGGGTAAACGGTAAAGTGGGGCAGGGCGATGAGTGGGAGCGGGGGAGGTGTTTCCTTTAATAGTATTCTATTTCAAATGTCCTTCACTGTCTGTTATAATTCTGCATATTTTTGTATTGCAAATATGTTTCTTTGTAAGAATTTACAAGGAAGCTTGTAGTCCTGGCAGGAGCGAGGAATTATCCAGTGTTTTGAAACGTGGGTAATTCAGACAGCCAATTTGAAACAGTGAGGCTAAGCCAGGCTAAGTACGGAGAGAGACCAGTCAACACTGATACTTGAAACAGTGAACTTTACGTTCCAGTTAAGAACCAAATGAGATGGATTTTGCAGTTCATCCTTTTCAGAATTATTGATTCAGGCAGATTCACACAGACAACATCACCTTGGTTTCCCCTTCATTCATGTTCTTCATATTTTGTTCACAAACATGAATACAAAAAGCATATATTTGGTTTTTTTTTTAAAAAAAGATTTTTAGTGTACAGTTCTATGGCCAGAACTAGTTTTTGTTAAGTTGTGCAACCACAGAATATAGGTATATAGTTGCAGATTCTGCTACAACTAAATTTTTGTCCTTTTTTAATTCATAAAAACTTAATCATATATAAATGCTAATATTTAAGGTTATGTAATCAGTTTCTTTCATCCATTTGTACCTTGATAACATACTTAATAGTATTCTATTTTATTGTTGTAAGCCATTGGCCACACTCAATTAACTCATGAAACTTTGACCATACTGGTAAATATATGCTGTACTCCTGCCACTTTAAAAATTCTGTTGAGCAATTATGCAAGTTACGGGTTTGTTCTGTCTTTGGGTTTAAATCTCAGTCATATAGAATTGCATTTATTTATTTTATTTTCAGTGATTCTAAGACATATACAATGACATCCAAGTCTTTAGTTTCTTACATAAAATATATTATCATTTATGTATCAATTTAATTTCATAATTTAAATTCTATAATGTAATTTGAATTCTTTCTTGTTTACCTAAGAAGGAAAAAATGTGATTAAAATGATAGTGATTTATCAATTGGAATCAGATAAAAATGCATTTTCTTGTAATTCTTCAAAATATTTTTACTTACCATCCTTGCCAGGATTATTTTGTATTAGGAACTATGTCAAACATGCAAGTTTGTTTACAGAATCACAGAATGGTTGAGGTTGGAAGAGACCTCTGGAAGAGACACCCCCCCCCCCCACGCTCCACCACCGACAGCTTTTGAATATCTCCAGGAAAGGAGATTCCACAACCTCTCTGGGCAACCTGGTCCAGTGCTCTGTCACCCTCACAGCAAAGAAGTTTTTTCTCATGTTCGGATGGCACTGCCTGTGTTTCAGTTTGTGCCCATTGCCTCTCATCCTATTGCTGGGCACCAGTGAGAAGCATCTGGCCTCATCCTCTTGACACTTTCCCTTCAGGTACTTGTACACATTGATAAGGTCCCCCGCCTTAGTTTTCTCTTCTCCAGGCTGAACGGGCCCAGCTCTCTCAGCCTTTCTTCACAGGAGAGGTGCTGCAGCCCCTTCATCATCTTATTAGCCCTCTGCTGGACTCACTCCAGGAGCTCCATGTCTCTCTTGTACTGGGAAGCCCAGAACTGGACACAGTACTCCAGATGTGGCCTCACCAGGGCTGAGTAGAGGGGCAGGATCACCTCCCTCGACCTGCTGGCAACACTCTTGCCTAATGCAGCCCAGGATCCCATTGGCCTTCTTGGCCACAAGGGCACATTGCTGTGCCCTCATGGTCAACTTGTTGTCCACCAGGACACCCAGGTCCTTCTCCACAAAGCTGCTTTCCAGCGGGGCAGCCCCCAGCCTGTACTGGTGCATGGGGTTATTCCTCCCCAGGTGCAGCACCCTGCGCTTGCCTTTGTTCAAATTTCATGAGGTTCCTCTCTGCCCAGCTCTCCTCCAGCCTGTCCAGGTCCCTCTGAATGGCAGCACAGCCCTCTGGTGTGTCAGCCACTCCTCCCAGTTTAGTATCATCAGCAAACTTGCTGAGAATGCACTCTGTGCCTTCATCCAAGTCACTGATGAATAAATTGACCAATACTGGACCCAGGACTGACCCCTGGGGGACACCGCTAGCTACAGGCCTCCAACTAGACTCTGTGCCACTGATCACAACCCTCTGAGCTCTGCCGTTCAGCCAGTTCTCAATCCTCCTTAGCGTCCGCTCATCTAGCCCGCACTTCCTGAGCTTGCCTATGAGGATGTTATGGGAGACAGTGTCAAATTTACATTTATTGTCAATTACAATTTATAATTTAATTTTATATAATTTAGACTGTCAATTACAGATATGTAAATGAATTATAACATACATTTTTATACCGATATTTCTGTGCCCCAAAAACAGAAGACAACACTGCATATTTATCTGCTTTGTAAAAAAGTGAAAAGTTCAGTGATATTCCACCTATGGTACTTATCAATATGGGCGGCCTGCACGGCAGTAAGGTCTCACATAAGCTATCTTACCTCTTTTCTTAAGGGATCTACTAATGCAATAATAGAAGGAAATTTATTAATCAGTTCCACATACATATCAACAATTTCATCAGGACTTCTGAACGTTCCAGTGAGTATTTCATATTTTCCTTTATGCTAGAAAGTAAAGCAAAAAGCGTAAAAGATAAGAATGGTAATACTTTAACAAACAGTTACTAACGTAAGCAGACACATCTGGTGACACTAATAACTCCACTAAAGCAGTGGACTGTGTGTTCTTCAATAAGCACACTTTCATTTATCTATCATCTGCTTTATTCTGTGTCTAAGTGGCCAGTACTTCGTTATAGGAATCCCTGCCTAATGTAACAGTGGGTTCCAACTGGCTCATGCCAAGCTCTCTGACAGGTACTATTCCCAAAACAAGGGATAAAATCTATTTCGGCATTTCCTAGGCAACACTGCCAGTCTTCATAGTTTTATCAATAAGTTAGCAATATTTGACATTTTTACTAAATCACACATTAAAAATCTCACTTTCGCATGAAAAAAGGTAATTTTTAGTCCTCATCTTCATAAAAAAATACTGCTATGTGAAAGGAGTACACCCTCAATGCTCAAAAATAAGAAGACATAGCCTTTTTTTTTTTTTTTACCCCTTTCCCCTTTCAAAAAAAGACTCATTTAAAACTAATCTCATTATTTTGGGAACCATAAACTGTCATATACACAGATTATTACAGGCAAACTGTCAAAGCATGCCACAATAGCCATTGCTTTAATCGCTTTAACAGTTTAATAATAAAAAGTTACAAAATTACTGATAATTCTTTGGCTAAGGTTTTGCTCATTCTGGTATAGAATAGGGATATCACACTGCTTTTGCCAAAGATCAGATATTAATAGTAGAAGGTTTGTCGCTATAGAGAATCTCATGAAAAATTAAATCACATAGAATAGCAAAGGCTTTTTTTCCTTCTACTTAAAGAGAATCCAAATTGATCTTGGAAAAAGGGGCAACAACTTTTAAGACTTCAGCCTGAGATAAATAAGCTTTGTCAAATCAAAATCTTGAAAAATAAGAATTAAAAATGAATTTTTATACATAATTAGATGAATGTTAGTGGCTGCATACACCTACCATAGTAAAAATATGCAGAAAGGCGAGGGTATTTTGAAGAAAACAACAGGTGCAGTGTAATAAAATAGAGAAATAAGCAATTAGTGGTGTGATGGAATTATAATAGTATACTTGTGTAAATAGTTTCTTGTTCTTCAATTTTGAAAACAAGGTGGATAGAAGATAATTACTGTATTTACACCCTATGGTAGAATGAAAAAAAGACTATTTGGCACTTAATATATTAATTCAAAATTGTCTTTCGGCATACGTGAAATGAAGCTGGTTATGTACTGCGTGTCCGCCCATTAAAAGTTTGCTACATTTGACACAGATTGATCAGAAAAAGCTTAATAAATAAATAAACAGAGAAAAGAATTAAATCTGGCTGGTCAAATTGTGAAAATAACAGATTCCTGTAGGCAAGCCATAATGGGCGGCTGCCTTGGCTCACTGAGTCCTGTCCCGTACGAGGTGTGCCAGCAGGCTGGTACTCTGGTACTCCAGAGTCCTCTCTGCTCCTGCTCCATCAGGCCGCCTGAAGGACATCTGGTGGCTTGTCCCCTTGCACTCACTATTCAATACAATTTCTGCAACAGTTCTAGGACAGATTCAAGTGTATTTTAAAAATGCATAGACATTCATTTTGTTTTGCTTGATTTCTACTTTGGAAAATGGAGTTAGAGGCTTCTAGGTGTGTTTATAATGCAATAATGAATACTGTTAACAACTAATTACATTCCCTTTAAAATCAACAACATAGAGATTGAAAGTAACTTACGTAATCTATCAATTCATGAGCAGCACAATTTATTGCTAAATACATATCTGTTCCTAGCTCCAGACCTATATTATTGCAAGCTGTTTGCAGTAGGAGTAGAGGTTGTTCTAGATTATCACATCCTGTTATTAGGCAGCCTAAGTGTGATATTCTTTTCATGGCTGCAGGCTGAAAGTAAAACAGAAACAATCCCCTTATTAGTATTTTTTAATATATAATAAGTACAATCCCTGCCATTTCAGTCTGACTTCAGTCAACAATATATATTTCTCAGAAATGACATTAGCATCTTTAGGGACAATTCTTTATGAATGAGTGTTTATCAAGTGCTATCAGGTAGAAAGCTGCTTTAGTCCTTGGAAACATGGCTAGTCATATAGTTCTCACACTTGTATGTCCAGTATGGGTTTATAAAAGCATTTTAAAGGCTCTTTTAACATCCACTGAGTTGTAATGGATGCTGTGTAAAAGTTTCTGTCGCTGTGGACCCCCCCCCCCTTCCCCCCCTGTTTGGAGTGTTCAAGAAACACTAGAATATTTCACGTCTTCTGGAGGGAATAAATTTTGTAGAGGGGAAATATCTCTAGCACAACTGTATCCTTTTTGAGAGTTTTCTGCCTCCTGCACACTAGCCACAAGCAGATTTGCACTGAGCAAATGTCTCACATCTTCTTCTGTTTTCAGTCATTTTGTAGACTTTTAAACACTGAATTCAAATTTTAAATCTGTGGATTTTAGATTATAAAAAATGACACTAAGTTGCCATGAAATCAGCAGGATATAGTCCTGGGTTTGACTGGAGAAGTTAGTTGGAAGGCATCAACGTTGAGGAGAATTAGGGAACTAACTACAATGGACAGGGCAGATCTAGCTACAGGGAATATCGCAATGTTCTTCACATACCAAATTTTAAAAGAAAACATAGGTCAGATTGTTATGGGAGGGAACATTTTGTAGCAATCTGAAAGAAGGAAGGGACAATCTATGAGACCTGCATTTTCCGGAGTATTAACCTGCTGCCACAGACAATAAGAAATGCGGCAGTCTGCTTGCATTTACTGTTAGAGCTTAAGTTTGCTTTTCTGTGTGATTTCTCCCCAAGTGGTGTGCTTTATTATATTCTATTAAAAGCATAGTATATCCTTATAAAAACATTTTTTCTGTCTAGTCTTGACTGCTATAACCTTAAATAAGTGCTTCCTAGCATTACATATTTACACAAGCACACAAAACACAAGTGATCAAACAAACTAGCAAAATAAAGGAAAAACTATGGAGATATGATTCAATTACCTTGAAATGTGCTTTTTAAAAAAATACATAAGCATTTCATATATGATAGGGCTTTATATACTGCACAATAAATGCCGGAAACATCATTTATTCAATTACTTCAAGCCCAAAATGAGTCTAATTAAAATTAAGTTTTCACTATTGTAAAGGAGAGTCAAGGAAACTTGAGCAGACAACCCTTCCTTCTGAAGATACCGCTACACTGAAAAAAACAACTGTGACTTACTTGCTTCAGCAATTTCCTTCATTGCCTGCATTGCCATTTTCCTTTCTTTTCTCAAAAAAACCCATGGCACTAACTAACATCAGTTTAAAATTCAGTCCCGCCAATACTTCCTTTAGTTTTCTTCTACTGAAATAAATGGGAGTTTTTCAGAGAATCTAATGCATGGCTTTGTGCTCATCTTAGAGAATTATTTTAACTTGCTACTACAGTCCATATTGTGATAAGAATACAGAAATTAGCCACCAGAAAATACAGAATTATTAGAAAATTAGCCACACAGAAAAATGGTGGCTAGTTGGCTGATGAAGACTGCTATGTTGTCTAACCAGCACAACAATACGAAAACTTCTGCTCATCTTCTCTTCTGTGTACCCCACAACAGCAACAATTCTTACCTGATAATATTATAATTGTCTCAGAATGGAGAGCAAAATCAGCATGGCATTTCTATCCCGCTCTTTTGAAAATTCATCTGTAAACTACAGGTTTTGAAGTGAAAAAGGCAAAGATCATTTGAATTATACAAAATAATGTTCTGTGAACTATTATGAGTGCTGCCCTTTTAACTAATGGTTTGCATCTGCCGTCGTTTGTTACTTCAAACAGGAACTGGGAATTTAATGCAGCATGACTAAGAGGGGAATTGTACTTCCAGAGTTCGGACACAGCATGGAATGACAGGTCTTACAGGTCACAGTTTTATGGCTTACATGATCAAAGGTACATGCTCTCTGCTGCTGCTACAGGCTCGCAAAATGCTCAGTTGGATGACTTATCAGGATTTCTGTATGAAAAAAATTACAAGATTCCAGAAGAATATCCCCTTTCTGTTATTCTTCCATAGGAAGGCAAGGTATAAACAGAAGAATCTAAATTATTATATAAAATATGGGCATGTGGAGTATTTAAAAGTGACAACTTGACCCTTCCAAAAAGGTAATGTAGATTAATGTTTCGTATCTTAAAAATGTTTTGGTTCCCTGCTGTCGTTAATAACACGCTGAAGGCTGAAGATGAAAATTTCTTTTCTTACCAGAACTTTCTTCCCTGTACTACGTGCACTGCCCTTCTTCCTGTCTGCTAATTGAGGACTGGGCTGCTGGGAGTGAAGGGAGAAACAGTGAACCAGTTCCATGAAAAATCCAAGCATATCACAGAGACTTCAATTAAAAAAAAAAGTTGACAGAATTTTGGTCTAATGAGATTGCAAATATTTAAGTTAGGAAATAGTATTTAAGACAAAACAGAAACTATCAGCAACTATCCAGCTTTATTTTGTGGTAGTAACTCATTTTAAATGTATATTTCCATGTGGGCATCACTTGAACCATCACTTGTTTTTCAGAACATTCCCACCTTGCCTATTAACAGAACATGAGCTCTCAAAAATGGTAAACTAGAGTCTGTACTTGAAGAATGCCAACAACATCACTTTGCAAAACGCATATACACATACTGAGCTTGATATACTACTGCAGTAACCATATGCTGTATGTTCACTGTAGACCCTTCCTTCTTAGTGTACTTTTTCTGGTATAAAAAATGAAATAGAAAGTCTTCCCATGCTTAGAAAAATGTTTTATTCTATCTTCATTAACTTAATAGTACCAAATGGCCAATGTTTTATTTCTCCGTTAGAAAAATACATCTTCTGCATTGTGCCAAAAGAGTAAACTTGGTAACATGCTAAATCTCCCATGTTCAAGCTTACACAGGGAACAACAGTAGAAAGCCCAGATGAAGTACATCATTATTATATATATTTTTGTCTTACCCCTTTGCATGTAGGCTCCAACAGCTTCATCATTTCTCTCTGAATATCCAAAGCCCTTTCTATACTCTGCAAATTAAACAATAATAAACTTCAAAACAAGGATAAATCCATTTTATTCTAGCAATATAAATCAGAAGGGATAGGATGCTTCTTCTAAATGCAGACCCTAATAGAAAGTCCTTTTTTTTTTTTTTTTTTGCTTTTAAACTATAATAGACTTCCTTAACACAATCCCTCACCCAGAAAATACAGTCAAATGTCCAATGATAAAGGGTTAGTAGCAGTGGAATGAACAGGGATGTCTGGTTATGCTGCTAGATAAGAAGGTAAGAAAAACGGTCTGTTCTTCCCTCAAAAGAACCCTTCCCACATCTAACAAGTAGGCAATGTCCTAATATCTGAGAAGTAGGAAGATGGTAATCGCCATCAACAATCGTGACTCTGTCTAAGACTTCCACCTGGAAACTCTCACAAAAATGAATGTATTTACGTCTACAATATATTCAGATAACAGGGAAAAATGCTGTCTTTATTTTAAACATAGGGGAATGGAAGAACACTCCAATTAAGTGATCCATTTAATTAAGGAATCCATTGCTTTTAACAGAAGACTGCTTTTCCTTTTCAGCTGAGTAAGGAAAAGTATAATGCTAACTTAAACCACACTTCTTCACATTTTCTTAAATTGTGCCAGTACAGGAGTACTGAAGGGGGCTGAGGTCAGTCACAGTTGATAACATATCAACATAGGAGGAACTGACTAGCACACTGCAGCAAACAGCCACTCTGCCATAAGCACTAGGAGGCACTATTTCTTTGAGAGGTGCAGAGCTGGTAATCTTATTAAGAGCTCTTGGTGACATTTCTAGAAGTTAAAGAGAATCAAGCTCAGCTATTTGTTCAGGTCACCAGCATACAAAACAGAAATTACAGCCTTAATGTAGGGATCTTGTGCGGATACATTCTTTAATGCAACACATGGTTAAACAAAAAGGAATTGTTGATCCAGTCTGCCTCATTCACCCCAAATACATTTTGCTCTGCTTTGTATTACCTTCTATCTTGACAATTTTATTTTTAAAACAGTTCGTTCCCAAAGGTTTTATGCTTTGTTGTGGATTTTTTTGACAGGTGTGAGAGTTTTGTTGTTTTGTATGCTCTATGAATCAGATGATGAAACTATAATACATTAATGTAAAATCACATTTTAAACAGAACTATTTAAAAATCTATTACTGTTGTATTACAGAATTCCTCTATGCCATCTTCATTGCCTTGATTTCTTTGCTGTATACTAACACATATATTTTTAACTTGAAATCTTCATGTATCTTTGTTTAAAATATCATCTATTTATCTCTATAATATTCCATGCCTCACAATTCTGCACTAATATTTGTTATGCAAGTAAACAGAAATGAAAAATAACATTTCTAAGGATTGTGTTGAAAAGATCTATATGCTTATGTATATAAACACTCTATACAACATATTTATAAAAATCAAAATGAAACTACCTGTTTGAGTGATAACTGAACTGGTGGTATGAGCATAACTTCCTTCATTAATTTCAGTTTTCCAGGCGAAAATTTCCCACAGTTCAAAAGAGTAACCATTGGCAGTGGCATAGTCATTTCCTTAGGTGAATCCTGTAATTGAGAGTATTATGTGAAAATAAAAATGTCTTGTATATTTTCATTGTAGCACAGGACCAGTTCAAAGCCTGCTACAGTCAACAGACTTAAGGATATATTTCATGAGGTACATTTATCATCAATTTCCACTAAGGCCTGTTGATTACAGAATTATAGAGCAATTGTGATAATTGGGAAAAACAAAGAGAACGACAAAATAGTCACGTGTACCTGATTACGTTTGAGCAGCGCAATATGTAAGTACAATGGGATATCGCTAATAGTGGCACCAGCCTTAGCTATAGCAAGTGATGTTCCTCCAATGGCTAAGCTGCCACAAAGCACTGATTCAATGGGTTCTGCAGGTGGGATTGTCGTCTCTGCACCTGGCACCTTCTTCCCTATAAGAAGGAGAGCAGTAGCTAAATATTTTCTTGGTTTAAAAGAAAAGTGTGTATTTATGTATCACAGTTGTAGGAGCAAATACAATATTGTCATTGCTGTAATGTACTCTAGGTATTACAAAAGAATTCATTTTTTCAAACTATCCTGTCAAGTGTTTATACATGAAATTACCTTGCAAGTAGGCAAAGTATCTTTTCTCACTCTGATTTTAAATGTTTTTCAAATTCATTTATTTCAGAGATTTTTCAGCCACTGATATCTGTATTAATCTGTATTTATACGCAGTATTGTCATCTCATCCTTCAGGTTCCTTTCATAACCATATTTTCAGTATTCTTTATTGCACTCCTTCTGCACAAACAACTTGGAATATTACATTATAAGCTGCCTGGGAATACACATACTTGATTTCTTCTGATAACAGTGAGAAAAAAACATAGCCACACAGAGTCATGTTAAATTTTCCAAACAACTTATTTCCCTTTCCGATACAGTAGAATAAGTTTGGTCAAAATGTTTCAAACCTGGCAGCTCTCACTGCCATGCTTATTATTTATACTTCTTACATGAATATGTACAGAAAGAACCTATAAGAAGTTAAAATAAGTGGTATGATTCTTAAAAATCATATACATTGGGTTTTTTTTTTTTTTTTAATAAATCTAACCAACTACTTTAGTTCCTAACAGGAGCTTCATGCAAACTTTCATTCGCTGTAGAGGTTTTCAACAATAAAATATAAATACTGCAGGATACAACTACAGTATCATAAGATAAAATATGCCTAATAGGACTTTAACTGGATATGCAGATTAGTTGATACCTCAATTCCCATACTATATGCAGATTCTAAACTGCTTACATCCAGAGGATAGTCACACACATAGTGCATTAGCAACCAAGTACTGAGGAACCCTGCGTAACTGTGCTGCTTTTCAGAGATTCTTTCCACTGCACTAGTTTTTAACCTGCCTAAATTACAACATAGATGCTACCTTTGAAAGCACCTGCTAATGGAAGTCTCCACCTGTTACTGCTCCACTGTAACAAGTAGCTATAATCCTTGATTCCTTATAATCACATATTGTTTCTAACAATATTATTATCAATGGTACAATCAGATAGAAAGAAATTACAATTAATGAAAATAGGTAACATGTATCGATAGAAGCTTGACTAAAAGTTTAATATATGGCATAATATCTGTATGGACTTGACAGCTACAGATGTTATATTTTAGGTGAAAGGTAAATTTACTGTACATACATCTAACATGCTTATTGGGAGGTTTTACTGACATTATATGATAATTGAAACTACACTGATAACAAAATTATCATTTGCCACAATTTTCTGCTCTCATAAGAAATGATAACAGAAAGATTTTTTTTCTGAGGATAATGCATATATGGGGGTAGCACGTGGTGCTTTTTTCCCCTCGCTTTTTTGGCTATAAATACTTTTCCTATTTCTCTGTTATCACACTACGGTAGCATTGTTTGCCTACTTCTTTTTCATTCTGTACTGTCTTCCCCATCTCATTCCCTTCCTTCTTTTCTACTTTCACTTTTCACCTTTATTTCCTCCTTTTCTCATTCTGTGAGAAACTTCCCTTCCTTCCTTCCTCTTCCCTTTCTTTTAAACTTCTATCTTCATGCCATTTCCATTGTCCTTTTCAGTTCTATGATTCCCTTTTCCTTCCTTATCATTCTCATTTCTATTCTTCATTTGCATCCTCCTCCATTCTTATTCCTCCTCCTGAAGAGTAATAACCTCCTGTCTAAGCCAGCTGTAAAACAAAAGGCAGAAACTCTGCTCAACGAACGCATGTGAGTGATGAGAAAATGTTGTATTTTCCCTCTCAGTTCTGTAGTAGAAACTGCTGTGATCAGAAAGATGATTTAGGACAGACAAACCGTACCCTTTGAAGAACTGATACCACTCTTCAGTGCCTAGGGGATACTTCAGAAAGTACATTAGCATCCTTATCAATATCCATTGAAGAATATATTATAAGAAAATCAACGAAAACCTATTGTTGTAGCTTTTTTTCCCTCGGGTAGTCCAGTTGCTGATGGAAAACACGAAGGAAGGGCAAGAGTGGATTCTTCTTTACCTTCCTTTTGAATTTCCTTTTTTTCTTCTACTTTTCTAATAAAGTATTCACTGAGGGAAAAGGCACAATGATTAGTAGCTCAAAATATTTTTAGGCATATGAAAAGCAGACATAGGATACTGACTAAAGAACATGCTGGGAGGTGGATTAGGGGCATCTATTTGAGCTTTTGCCACGGACTCATTGTGTGAAGCTGGAGGAGTCAACAAATCACTTTGTCTTACTGCAGCCATATGTAATGTTGAGCAAACAAAATGTACCACCAGCAAGCATTACAAACCTTAGCAGCTGCTTTTCAAATCACACAGAGTCAGCTCCATGCAGACACATGGGTAGTAAAGGATATTATCACAACTTTATGGCATAGAAGAACTCGGCCTAGGTTGCTAACGTAATAGGTTAGTTGTAGTACACTCTTTACCTGAGAGGCTGCAACCTCAGAGGTGGCTGAATTTCAACCACCAGTGGAAACTGTACATATGGGTCAGAATCACCCAATTCAAATATAGTATATAAAGTTATGCAAGTAATACATTAAAATCTTGAGATTTCAGTTGCAGGAATTTCTTTCAAGTTGAGTCCCTATTCCCTTGAGCAAGGGATGCTCAAAGACAATCCACCAGGACTGCAATTTTGGTCTGTTTGCTACAGCTTGTGTCAAGCGTGGCAACCCAACAGCTACTCCTCCAAGAAAGCGTTGTTCCCTTCAGGGAGGCAGCTGATAGAAACCCTTCAAGCTACACAAAAGGACAGGCCACAGCACTGCTTCCAGGGTAAAGAGAGACATAATGCTGCCTGGTAGTTCCTCAAATGCTGTAGTAAAGATACATTTGAGTATATTTGTGATGCTTTTACCATAGCTTTTATTTTTCCTTAAAAACAACAGATATATTTCCTTATAATAAAAATATATCTATTTTTTCTACTGTGGGATTCTCCTAAAAACAAATGTTTACATGAGAAAATATATATGAGGTTATTAGAGAAATTATGTTTCCAAGCAAGTGTACAACTTCAGCTAAAAGAGACTAATTACCACAGGTAAGTATCCTTTTTTGGAGTGACCTACATAGAAAAAAGACTCTACCAGAACCTAAAAACTATATATACTGTGTGTGTGTATATATATTTATATAGATACACATACACACGCTCACACACACAGTCTCTGTATCTCTCTGTATATCTGTCTGTATCTGTATACGCACACACATACACATAGAATATATATGTGTTTTTATAAATATACATATACATAGGTATGTTTTGTGTGGATTTAGCTTGATGCAGAAGACACATACACACAGGCCTTTCATACCACGTGTTTTCTCCAGGGTAATGAACAGGAAAGTGGAGTGGCCATCTGAAAACGGCCGAACGAGTTTCTTAATCAGGGGCCTCTGGCTCATGAACACGTGTCTATGCACTTTTTTCTTAGAGATCCCTATTTTTCATCCCACAAAAATCTAATTTCCCTGAATGTTTGTGTAAAGTAGCATGATTTTCCTTTCATCACATTACAAGTTAAAGCAGTAGGAAATAGGACAGTGCAATGTATCTGAGATGGACATCACATCCTAAAAGTATGTAATAAAGAATAACATTAGAAATCATATGGAATATTGAATACATTTTTCATTCTCAATATAAATATGTAGTGTGTATTTCAAGTGCAATAATTTGTTCTGCAGTAGCGTAAAGCAATAGAAAAAATATGCAAGCCTTACCTAAGTATCTTATCAATGTTACACTGGTCAGTGGGTTTCAAGTCTCTTAGCATTGCGTTCAGTGATTCATTCACCCATTCCACAGCAGTGTTAACAGAGTCATTTCTTTCTTTCTCATCAGCCTCAGTTGCTTCAGGTAAAGCATTTTCAAGTATTTGAGAATGAGAAGAGATTACAGTGGAACAAATCCTCTGCAAAATAATGCAGGAAAGAATGAAACATACATGTCCTTACCTATTCTGCAAGTACCTATCTCCACATCCACTGTTTGTGCCACTTACTTATCTTTTTCATCTAGCATCTCTTTCTGTTTTTTTTATACTTTGGTAAGAACAGACTTTATCCAAGTTTCTCAAATTAAATGATTAACAATTTAGGTATAAACCTCCTGACAGATCTCTTTATCGCATATATTTTATTCTCAGAACAGAATGGAGTTAATTTTAAGGATTATACTGTCATTGCGACATATTTTATTGCAGCTGTTGGCAGTCTGTTGTACCATGATTTACCACCATTTGTATTTAGTGTCATCATTCATACTCACTTACATTTTATCTTAATTATTGAGGTAATTTAAATATGTATTTCCATATGGATGAACAATACTTATAAAATAGATATCAGAGTTGGCTTCATTAATAACATTAACTTAACACACTATGAATAACTTTGAAAGTATATTTAATTTCTTTAACTTTAAATTGTCTCCTTTTTAGTATCAAAAATGTACTGATTCATAGTTTAACTAAGGAAAAGTGTAAATAACAAATCCACAGTATTAGGAGTTGTAAATAGAATAGTCTTGGATATTTCAGGGCGGCGGCGGCGAAATGCAGTATCAGTTTTGCATTGCAGGTGCTTACATAGGTATGTTTGACTTAACTATCACCCACATCAAACTATTTGCTCAATATTGTTAAAAGTTCCTCCAGTTATATTATTTTGACACTCTATTTATCTTAAACAGTGCTGTAGCAATAAAATTATGAGGACCTGAGAATAAAAAGAAAGAAAAATCTAGAGGAAAAATGGATTTACAGGTTTAGATACGGGATGCAAGGAAAAGCACCAGGATGCATTGTAGGACAAACAAAAGTTTAACGTGCAAAGATGCACTGTCGTATGTGGCTCACAAAACACAGAGAGGTATTGTTTAATTCACAGAGAATGAAGTTTGTATAGTTGCTGGCACCATCTAACTTTTCATGATTTTTTTTTCTAAGTTGCAAGGACCATTTACTCAACTGTTAAGCCATGTGGAGTCATATTCTTTCGGTAAAGACAGAAACTAAAATGTTCATTAGGATGGGAGTAGGAGTAACTCTCCCTGATAGTCTCTTATTAAAATAAATAATACAGAAAGATGTAGCTCATACCTTCTCATAATTTTTAATTATACAGTATATTTCCACTTCTAATGTTGGTCGACCAACTCCATCAAGAACTTTTCTTCCAACTAATTTGCATATTACTGGAGCTTTTGCGAATTTAGAAAAGTAGTTAGCCTTAAATAAGAGAAAGAGAACTCCATTAAAAGCCAATCTCTCTGTAAACAGGTTTTTATTCCATTAAATAAATTAAATTTAAATTAAATCCACCACTGAGTAAATCCATTTACAAGGCCCATTATTCAACACACTTGTGTTACACCGCACTTTTACTTCTGTAACATCTCCTGAGGAACCATTACAGATGGGACAGATCCACCTCAAATCTAAGCATGGGAAGTGGCTGCACAGCCACATCAGGTTATACGAACAGGCGTTTTATTTGGCAAAGTCAGTGATGGGGATCAAAACCTCCTTAACCCTCCTAGAAAATATCTGTCCAAAGTTTAGATTTACAGTGAAATAAAAAAAAAAAACATGTATATTGAGAATATATTTCTTGCCTACAGAAGTCACTTAATGTCCTAGATATCTAACAATGTTTTCAAGTTTGCTTGGTCAAATTAATATGTAGAGTGGCTCAGGTGTCTCAACCAGGCCCTGATTAGGTGACTGAGTGTTAAAGATCTAGATAGCTAGAAGACTTAATCTGCAAGGAAGGGAAATTTGTTATCGAGTTCCTCAATCACAGTGGTAACCACTGCTTTTGTAGTCTCCTCCCTTACACAACATCCTTGATGTAAGGTTATTTATCATTGTGATCAGACTCTCCTTACTGGAGGAAGTGTTTCTTGGTTGGATAGAACTGAGCTAACAAGCTAGGCATAGTTTGCAAGTCGCTGCGGGCACGCTGCACCTAGGAACAGCATACAAGACGACTGATGCAGCTAGCAGACAGTGTTCCACAGTAAATCTGAAATTTTAGGTTAGCACGCTTTGAGCCTTGTGAGAAAGGTGGAAGTCTAGTATTCTGGCAAGCAGAGTTCTTTTACTTGTTTTTTGCATTGTGGTATTTCATGGGCCTGAGGAACTGGTAGCGTCTGACTGTAAGAGTATGGTTTTGGCTCTGTCCTTACCTATTGGACACTGACGTGGCTTTGTATTGCTTGATGTTGCTTTATATTTATATTATATTATGATTACATTGTTACCTGAGGTTTACTGTATACTGTCTTTGTTTCGTTCTTTAGTCTGGTATCAAAGACAGTCACCAAAGCCAAAGCATGACTTATCAGACTGAGAAACCACAAAACATATATAGCTATGTAGAGGAGGAAAACATGTAACCATCAAATACTGTAAATCAGTTTCAACTATTCTACAAAGGTCTGAACAGTAGTACATTGTTTCACTGGGGGCGTGGAGTAGCAAAGCAAGACAAGATGTCGTTAGTTCTCAGTCCCACTGGCAAGGGCAAAACATGTGGGAGAAGGAAATGGCAAAAAAACTATGGCCAACCGTGTAATGTTTTATTTCCACAGACACTTTCACATCAAAGAACACAGAAGAAATTATTTTTTCTAGAGCTCACGCTATTTGTATTGTTGGCAATTCCAGCATCATCACTAATACATGTGTTATTAGCACTGCTGTCCACAACATTTTGTCAAATTGGTACCAGACAAAATTGGTTTGATTCCTGTCCCTTCCATTGAAGCCTGCTTTTCAAGAGCAGCAGTTGGAATATTCCCCAGTGTCCTATTATTGTCACCAGCCTGAGTCATCAGGGGTCAGCAGATTAGGGATGCCCATCTTCAGAATCCCAAGGCAAAACATTCTCCAATTTTGTAAACATAACCGACCAGCATAAAACAAAAAGCTCTACCACTGTACGAATGTATTTGGACCAGGGTCAAAGCACCATCGCTCCCAAGAGGTGAGAAACATCAAGCCCTCATAAAAGTTTGCTTGAGTCAGTGGAAAGTTATTTTTTTGAAGTCTAACTGTAGTCAAGGAAGCATCAAGCTCATCCACGTTTTGCTTTATGGAAGCCTCGGCGCCTGCACAGGGGACAAGCAACCGTAGGTGCACC